AGATAGAAGAAAGATTTCAATACAATACTGAATCGCTGAGAATGACAGATATAATACGTGAGAAATTCTACAATCAATAAACTGTGAAACTTGACAAAAGAAAATCGTTGAAAACTGATTTGGTCTAGGAATCGGTACTCTATAATCAATGGAGAGAAATTCAAATTACTCATGGTCAAAATAGTAAAAAGAGAGGTTACGTGATTTTAGCACGTGACAATAGTAACAAATGTATAAATAGTCCAAGTGTCACCAATGAGGCGAATCTGTTGGAGGTTCTATTAAAGTCAATCTTCTTCTTTTGAATTGGTTTATCCAAATATGCAATACAATTTGGGGCATTCTATTTAAAAAATCACAACTTTGATATGTAGGTCAAAATTAGGACACCCTATATAATTGCCAATATTTTAAAAATACCCCTTCAAATTTCATGTATAACATGCTATAAATAGATAACGAGTATGTGTATACAGGGTGGCCCATCCATGTGTGGACGGAATATTATTCATATACAAATACATTTTGGGAAAATATATTCATGGCTTGTTACACACGACATTTGAGGACACATTTCTAAAATATTGCCAATTATACAATTATTATATAATCATTTTTTAAATGGAATGCCTCAAATTTTATTGCATATTTGGATAAACCAATTCAAAAGAAGAATATTGATATAACATACTATAGGGTTCTGGTAATTAGCTACTGAGATGTAGGGTGTTTTGTCCAGAAAAACCGTCCACTTCGGTAACCCCTCAATCCGCCATTTTGAAATTTGGAGTGCTGAAATTTATATCAAAAAAAACTTACATTCCTTAGCTTCTATCGTATTTGTTACTTTTTCAAATTTTAATTTTTGCTCATACAGGGTGGTCAAAAACGCGAATTGTAATTTTTCTCAAAAATTTCAAATGCATCACCCTGTATATTTGCGTAAGTTTGGATTCAATTTCTCATAAGCTTTTTTTTGGTATAAGGTTTGATTCAGATAAAATCACTAGATTTTGAGCTATTAGGCTATTAATAGAACAACACACCAAAATTAAGGAAAAAATCACATCATCCATCGAAACAAAAGACAAACAGTGGGTTAGTTAAATATTTCCACTAACAGTACAGATTTGACGTCAAAGCTAATAATAATCAGAACATTATAAATCGCTTCAAGCGTAAAAGAGAAAAACAACTATAACAGCAACATAAAGAAACAACTATCACTACTCAAGACCTAATCTACAAATACTGCTCGAAAGTATCTCCACCATTGCACCGTTGCACATCCCTCAGCATGTGTTCCCTTCTGTTCAGAAAAGCATCCTTAATCCTCTCCTTCATATTTCCCAGGGTAGATGGTGGATAGATATCCATAGATATAAACCTCTTGCTTAACGTAGCCCCATAGAAAGAAGTCCATCGGTGTCATATCTGGTGATCTAGGAGGCCAAGATATAGGCCCATCACGACCGATCCAACGATTGTTACTCCAGGTGTCCAAATAGTTACGCACACGATTATGATAATTCGAGGGTGCGCCGTCATGATGGAAGTACATATGCGTCCGAATTTGCAGGTTGTCATCCTCCAAAAGCAAAGGCAAATGCTCGATCAAAATATTCAAGTATTCTGTACCAGTAAGGGTTTTCCGTCGCATAATAGTGCAGGTTATGCCTGTTGACAATACCAATGCTGTTAAAAGTTGCCTCATCGCTAAAAAGAAGCTTATCCAGAAAAGTAGTGTCTTCACTCACATTATTTAGCATTATTCTACTAAACTCCGTTCGAGCTGCAAAACCCTGAAGACGAAGGCCTTGATGCAAGCAGAGAAGCTATGAATTTTGCATTATAATGCTCACAAAGCTAATTTTGACAGTTTGTAACTAATCAACAATTTATTTGTTTCCAAGGATGATCCGATATTTTAGGGAATTAAGCCGTTCCATAAAAGATGTGTTAATAACCGCAAAAATAGCCGTAAAAACCCTTATGTGTCTAGTATCAAAAAAAGCCTATAAAAAATTGAATCGAAATTTGTACAAATATACATGGTGATGTATTTAAAATGTTTGAGAAAAGCTACAATTTGCGTTTTTGACCACCCTGTATGTGCCCAAAATTAAAATTCTAAAAAGTAATAAATAAGATTAAAGCCGAGGTGTGTAGGTTTTTTTGATACAAAATTCAGTACTCCAAATTTCAAATTGGCGGACTGAGCGGTTGCCGAAGTGGGTTTTTTCTACATAAAACACCTTATATCTCAGTAGCTAATTACCAAAACCCCATAGTATGTTATCAATTTTCTTCTTTTGAAAAATCACAACTTTGATACGTAGGTCGAAATTGAGACACCATGTATAATGGCCAATATTTTAAAATGTGCCATCAAATGTCATGTATAAGATCCGATAAATAGATTTTCCCAAAATGAATTTATCTATGTGTAATGTTCCGTCCACACACGGATGGGCCACCCTGTATTTATATATATATATATATATATATAACAAAAATAGGAAAATAATGGGCAAAATCCGCAAAAAGTGGATTCGAGCAGAAAATAGGATAGGTAACCCGTGCGATACGTATTTCTGCTGGTTGGCTTCATCAGGCCCGAAATGAATGCACATATGCAACTACAAAAGTAGAGACACATGCCCATACATCCGAATACGGGTGTAACCTGAGGAAACAAAGATGGAGAGGAAAAAAAAGACACACGAAGTCCACAAGAGCCAACTTACACATTGTAGTATAAAATGGCTAGAAGACCTTGAATTTTCAAGGCGACAAATAACCACAACCTTCTAGCCGTTTTATACTACAATGTGTAGGTTGGCTCTTGTTGTGGACTTCGTGTGTCTTTTTTTTCCTCTCCATCTTCGTTTCCTCAGGTTACACCCGTATCCGGATGTGTGGGCATGTGTATCTACTTTTGTAGTTGCATATGTGCATTCATTTCGGGCCTGATGAAGCCAACCAGCAGAAATACGTATCGCTCGGGTTACCTATCCTATTTTCTGCTCGAATCCACTTTTTGCGGATTTTGCCCATTATTTTCCTATTTTTGTTATATACCTTTCTCCGCATGATAATTTTCTCTCTCTCTATATATATATATATGCATATTTATTTTCCATAAACTGTAATACTTTATACGTGAATAAACTTATATTTATTATTATTATTTACATACACGTCAAGCTAATGATGAATAAATAATAAAAGCCCTTCTTCTACTCGCCACCTATCTATCACTCACATCATCATAGATTTATCCTAAATTATTCGACAATGAAGTTTTTAATGTTTAAGGCCTATTTCTTTTTTATGATTGGTTATACGTGTAACCTGGCTCAAGTTCTGGTATTTATTCTTCTTTGCACTGGTCTTCTTGTGAACGGCAGGGGCATTATGTAAAAAAACCTAAAGGACGTAAAAAAACACAAAATATCTTGCAACTAGGTAGTTTTTTACGGTGCAAATAGTTCATTCCACGTTTGCTCGCTTTGATCGCTGAGAGCGCCATCAAAATAATCCATCTATGGAGGAATGACTTAACGACACGACATGCATTGTTGGTTACAGAAAGCCGAATAGTCTGTAGTATTTATCTCTGAGAAGATATAAAACAAGGAAAGTCGGTTGGACAGCAAGATCGCATCTGGATGAATATGTGTATTGGTCTGCATGTGTAAAAAATCAGTGATATTTGCTATGCGAAAAAATTGTTACAGAATATGCTGCGCCTGACGAGTTATATATACAGGGTGACTTTGAAGTTGAGTCATTAATTTTCAGATAATGATTGTAGAAGGAAGATAAACCAAAATATGTGTGTAAAAATAAAAAAAAAAATTACCTTGTTTTATAAAGTATCCTCCCGACAAGTATTTCAGTGCGGACCTGTATTTGATCGTGAGGTCTTGGAGCACCGGCATGCCGTCCCCTGTGAGGTCTTAAGTCACCTGATTCACGAGCCCGTTGTACTACATTAACAAAGGCACGAGGGATTGGTTGCACTCGATTGGGAAACCGATCCGCATAAACATGTGCCATTTTTGATTTCGTTTGAGCCACGCAACAGACAACACTATTCACTCACGCGCTACCGACTGACACTGACTGTATACAACTGAATAAAATAATTGTAAAAACATCGTTCCAAATTCTTTCGCTTTTTTGTTTCCGATGCGATGAACCGATAAGGCGGATTATATCCGTTGTTGCCAAACACGAGCACATAATATTATTATTGAGACAGGGCGGTACTCAAACTTCCAAAGGGCTATAACTTTGTTACTTTAATTTTACCAGAAAAATGGTAAAGGAAAAAAACATTTCTTTTGATCAGATCTACTCACTGTTAAAATAAATGACTCATCTTCGAAGTCACCCTGTATATGTTGTCCTTTCTGGAGAAAGGTGTTACGTCTCATAAATATTCCTGTCTGTCGAATATTCTCTGACCTGTTACTTGTAATATACTTTACCAACCAGGAATTTTCTTTTCTTATCTCTCTTATTTTTGAGTTTCAGCAAATATCCACATGTAATTTCCAGAATGGACAAGAAAAAGTGGATGCGCAACAAATTTCTAGCTTTGAAAACATCTCAAGTAAGTGTATTTGAGACAAGAAACCAATGGAATTATCATCAAAACAGATTATTAGCACACAAATCCTCACTTTGCACTGCCGTTTCCTTATAGCTATCGTATACAACTTACAGCTTAGTCCTCCAATAATGCCATCTCTGAAGCAGATGTTACATCACATCAGAGCAAACATTGATAGCTGAAGCATCACGACGTTTAGGCAACACATACAGCTACAAAACGAGTTCACCATAAGTGTACAACAGCTAGTTAACATCTTGTGGAACCTTCGTTATGTCCCAAAAACCTACAAAGTGTAAAAAACCGACAAAATATCACTTTTCAAGAATCATAATATCCGTGCCGCATAATGAAGATAATAGTAATAAAACAATAATGAAATACTGAAAATATATTTGTTATAAATCTAGTAAACAACATAACAGCAAATGCAAAACTAATATAGCTTCACACAAAATCTTAATAAATAATGAGTAGGGTTCTTGAACATTTGGTTACGAATACTTTAGAAATACGGTGAGTAGCACAAGAGAAAAAATGAAGGCCGCTGTTAAACTCTATATTGACAATGAATCTGCAGTTGAGGTTAACAGTTTATATTGTCCAATTGACATTGGCACATAAAAAGAAGAGTACGGAAGAAATTCATATTAAATAGCTATAAAAAATGGTCTTTTTCATTTTGATCAGATTTCAATATTGTTAAGGATTTTAAAAACAAAACCGTACATATATCGTTCTGAAAAATGATGATGAAAGTATCATCACCTTACTGAACTCACAGACCTATACAGGATGTTTTGAAGTACAATAAAATTGAAAGAAAACTTAGTTTTTATACTTGCATAGTCAGTTTTGAAAATTTAAATATCCGAAAGAAAGACTCGCCAAATTTAGTCCCAAAACTCAACAAATAGCAAAAATAATCTGTTCTCTACTTTCTAATAAGAGGTAAGCCTAAAACAAAAAAGCATTTCCTTGTTGTTTCTTATTTATCCTACGAATTTAGAAATTATATAAAGGAAAAAAATGTCTTACATTTTACGTACTTGGACTAGAATCTGTAGCACCCTGTATAAGTCGATGCTTTTTGATGTGATCTACGAAAATTTTGTTTGATCACTGAGCAATGTATAAAAATTTGAAAGTATTGTTAATGACATTTATTCGAATTCTTTAAAAGATCGAATTCATTATTCCAGGCCTCTAAAGCTAATAAGGCCGATTCTACGCGGAATGTATACTTCATTTATCATTTTCACAATAGTTGATTTCTGGATCAATTTGTATTCATTCTTCCCGCATTTCTTACGTAAGCCATGTGAAATACTGTTTCTGATTATATGTTTCCAAAATATATTATTGAAAAGTTTTTAGAGGGCTGAAAAATTTATAAATACAATACAGTATATTAATAATCTCCCATCATTAATGAAAACGTTTCAATTACATACATATGTCATTGTAAGAATAAGATCACCTTTATGGTTGAAACGTTTGTATCAAGAAGGAGCTTCAAATAGATGTGGTTTTTATTGGCCAGAGAAGCATGGATGATTATCGATATGTAAACCACAGGATAAGTTTCAGATGTTACACTAACAACATAGTATGTTAGTTCCGACTTAAGTACAAAATAGGAAGAAAAGAACAAAAATGAAAATTTCTCCAAGGTCCTAAGGTTGATAAGGATTCAACAGCCACCTACAGTATAAATATTACTTCAGCATAAAACCGGCCTTTTCGATAGATCTCTTCTCTACACAAACAAAGCACTATATCTAAGATTGTACAAACTTTGAGCATCACGCACGCATCATACAATATATATATATATATATATATAAAACGATAACTTAATACTAGAAACAGCCATTAAAGTATCAGTCTTCGAAGACAGTGAAGTTTCGCTTCATCCAACTTGAATATGTACAGCTAACTTCCTTAATAGGAGTATTTATCCCTGGTGTTCGCCCATGGGATAAAGTTTAGCTTAGGAATCAGGGATTCGTTATCACAGTTCACGAGTTTGTTACTGAAAAAGATAAAATTCATAAGTTGAGGCGGCGCCAACTTGTAGTTTCAAATTGTTATTTTTGTAATCAAGCTAGAACTAATTCATATAGATTGCGTAATCTCAGTATGTTACGGGACTTTCGGACTATTGTAGTAACCACACTGTATATGAATGTGATAATAAGAAGAAAAAACGAACGTAAAACTACCTGGAAGACAGATAAATAAAATATGTCATTGTACTGAAAAAGATCACCTTTGTGATTGAAACGTTTACAGTAAATATTCAGCCAGTGCATGACATTGTGGATAAGTTTCAGACGTTACGTTAACCACAGGATTTTTGATAAAACAAAATTTTGTCATGCAGTAGGTCATGACGTGACCTATTCGCAGCTGTAAGATTAGCCCTCAATTTCTGGACATCCTGTATATAAGTGGCAGAATGGATGAGCAAATCTTAAACGTGTTGTTTTGCAACTTGATGACACTTTGGAGACTTGAAGCTTATTTTAGGTTATTAAGCAATTAAAAAAACTACAGTGCATTAGGATTTTTAAACACGTTACGTAAAATATTCTATAAGCAAAATGCAACTTCAGCTTTGTAACTTACCTGTCACTCAACTTCTTGAACGCTTCTGGTTGCATCTGTTTGATGTCCTCGGCATTATCGCAAATTATCCTGGCAAATGTTGTCTGAAAAAGAAATAGTACTTACTCGCTCATACATTTGAATCCATAAAAAACAAGGAAAGGTATAGTATGTCCACTTCCAATTCAAATCACTAAGAAAGGCAAGCTTGCTTTACATGAAAAGGAATCCACGCACTTTATACTTTTATTATTTTGGTTTAATATTTTAGTACTTCTTTCGTTTAGATATTTATTCTCATTCTCAACTATAGTTGTAGTCACCGTTCTTGGCGGGTTAAAATAAGACTACCAGTATCCCTTTATATACCTCCATCTCCCTCATACATACACATGCAACCTACCCCTGTGTGTGAACATTTGTTCGGTAAGCTCAAAGACATTTTTTGTTTGTTCTGTGTCTCCGTCGAGAAAACTCTCTCGTTACGTACGAGTGCCCTTCAATCATATCTGTCAGAGTGACAACTTACTTGATATCGGCGTGCAATTCAAATTGTCCTGTTATCAATCTTCAATATAAAATTGTACACTGCATCGGAAATACGGCCAATGGAGAAGGTCGACAGCTCGTGCTAAATTTATTAGAGTATTTCCAGGAAGAGAATGAAAACAACGGTCCCCTGTTACCCTCTTCATGCGTACTGGAGAGAGTAGCAGATGCGCTGAAAATCAGTCTGCGCAGTGTTCCGCCCATGGCACGCAGACTCGATCTGTTTACTTATTTCATATAGCTTTGATGACGTAACCGCCAAGTACGGTGACTTCAACTATATCAGCTTCAGGGAGAAGTTCATAAAAACTTTTTCTGTTCAGAACGATCTAAAAAATCTAAATAAATGTCTGGGCGAAAAAAAACAATTTTTGAAATTCATTTTAAAATATTATCGAAGTCTTGACGCAATTTTGGGGCTAGCAACATGCAGATCGGTTAAAGAGGGTCATTTCCGAATAAGATTATGCAAAAAAACCGAATCAGAATATTTCTACGAGTGGATGCGTTCCTTAACTAATATCATTCCTAAGTATAGGCTCAGTATCAATTTTTATTTTCCAAAAATAGAATGAAATAATCTGGATTTTAATGAATTAATGATAGAGCTACTTAATTTTCCATAAAATATTAAATGAACAAGCTTACCTTCTTGATCTCCTTCAGTTGCTCTGACGTGAAAGGCTTTGGCTGCCAAGGGTTGCTATAGAAGAAGCGATCTCCGCGCCTTGTGCGTAGCAACTGATCTGCGGCAATGCAGGAGAACGTGGGACCGAAAACTGATGACGCGTGCGGCGTTTCAGCCAGTCCACCGATGATCAAGTCAACATCGGCTGGATCATTGTAAATCTTTTGCAATGCTTCAATATTCTGGAACAAGAATAACCTAGATAATGATTCTGATATAGAAATAGATCGTGAAACTAATTGTAATAAGTAGGTATCTCAGCAGAAATTCAGAGGCATAGCCCTAGGAGATTTTTGTTCTTGGTTAAAGCCTTGTACGTCATGGGTCTGTCACATCCAACGAATTCGAATAAGTAGAAGAAGCAAGCATATGATTTGATTCACGAAGCTTAAACCGCCAGTTTGATAAATGTTGACACTTCGCCATTACATTCGTATATTTCTGGAAAAATGTATAAAGCGGCGTACAGACCGTGATTCCAACGCAAGCCAAGGCAACGGTTTCCAAGGTCGGCGTTGGCGTACGATTGCGTACGCTCCTTGACCGGTACAACAAAGAGAGATTTGATTTGGTCTGGACAGGATTTGTTGCGCTTCTAGTATTTTGTCGTTTGTCTGGATTTGATGAGAGCAGATATTCGTTTGTCTGTACGCGGTTTTAAAGTGAGTGAGTTTCCATACAGTTCTAGTGTTCTAAACAATTGCCAAAATCGGGAAGGTATTCAAGCATGCAAGGAGAATAAAAGCAGATTTTTTTTAAATGTATGCTTCTCAACGTTGGGATACCAGGACGTCAGTTAGACTTAATTTTTTCATTCCAGTTGTGTTTTTTTGTTTGCTGAATCTTAATCTATCGACCAGAAGGACTAACTAGAACTTCAACTTAAAGTCCTTGAGTCTACTTTTATTTTTGATATAAAAGTTGTCACTGGCTTTCTAGTTGACTCATTTGAGCGCAGTTATTTGGTGCAACGTGCTCTACTATTTCCAAAGTACACGGCCATCGCTGCTGTTAGATGAAAAAAAAAATGTTTTTTAGATTATCTGATTTTCTACCAAACTTTTTTGTCACGTCTTGGAAGGCTCATTTATATTACAGCACAGATAGTTCAAATAACTACTGAAATAACCTTTCGAGAGAAAAAAAGAATATACGCCGAGAGATTGGTTTGTCACTTTGGTGGGCAAAAGTACCCAAAAGTATGCACTAAATCGTAATTTTGGCGACAAATACTGCCTTATAAACACAAAGGTTTGGCTTGGCAACGTTATGCAAATATTTACCATTTGGAATTAGTATATATAGTTTACCTCTTGTGACATAACGTCGGAGAAATCTTCAAAAGAAGTAGCCAGAGGATATCCACACAGTTCCCTGAACTGATTGTAGCCAGGAAGTCCATGGTCTCTGCCTCGAGCGATGTCCAAACTTAATTGGTCGTAACCATAATTTCCATCGCTGTAAAGTTTGTTAACAAGCTGAAAAAGAAGGATCATTGTTGTAACAAAATTATTTACAAAAAGATCACTCGATTTTCAAATGTTACCCCGTTAATCATGAAACTGCTTCAACTATGAATCAAGCTGAGATTCACCTCAGGCTCACTTGTGGTAGGCGAGGAATGAACTAGAGGCACACTAGCGGCTTCTTGGTGTACAAGTTGGCATTTTACCGATTCTCTGACATTATGTAGGTTTTTCACTTAATAACCCTCAGAAGCATAGATGTTTGAATAAACAGGTTGTCAATCTCTATTGGGCTAAATAGTAAGAAGACTTTAAGTTTTTTTTATACTCCAACTACCACGAAGGCCTAAGGCCTAAACACCTATGGGGTACCGTGGGGCTAAGTGGTAGAGATGAATCGCTACTGTCTGAACTATTTAGGCTATGCACAGTATAAATAAAGCAGCATTCTAGACCAAATCCTACCTAAGTTTTTTTGCAATTTTATAGGGTTGAAGTGTTATGAAATGGTTCCGATGAGTAGCTGCTGAACTACTTCGGTATGGAAAATAATGTAACGGTAGCAGCATTTCAGGCCAGATCCTACCTAGGGATGTTCGCAACTTTATTCATACAATCGAAATAAGATAACACATAGAGCCATCTTTTATATTCGTTCGTCGTCCACAGCTGTCCATGGTTGGCCGTCTATGAACGAAAACTATATTACTATCTTATTTACATAATATTTAACTTACATCATCGGTGAAGGCGAAATCCAACTTCTGGCTGCTCTGCGTGGTAAAGCCTCTCAATATCTCATCAAGGACACCAGGTTTCTGGATCACTCCAGGTCTATTGTAGTGTTCGTGCAGATTGAGCACGCTGGCGTTTTCCAGACGACCCTCCTTGACCAGCCAGATCTTACCGCTGTAAAGCGACTTCATGGCCCTCATCACTGATGTGGCAAAACTGTTGCTTACTGATGGGTTCGTGTTAGGGCTGTAGTCGGCGAGCCTGTTGATAATCCTGACGTATCTTGGGGCTGGAAAAACGCGAATTCATGAGAATTACGATTGATCGATATATTATCACGTAACGGGCCTCATAAGCAACAGAAGAAATGGCTATAGATATGTGGACTAACCGAATAGAAACGATAAAGATATGCAGCAAACACAGTCGCACCGTAAGCAGCAAATTTGAAAAAAATATTTCATTATTGTTTTGAAACTTGGATCTTCTTATCTTCCTCCTTACTTTTGTAGTTTACACTTTCCGTTCCCTTCAACTGATAGACTCGTACTTTGACTCAAAAGCTAAGCTTAAAGCGATTTCCACGGAAAAGGGTTTCTTCATTTATTTATTCTTTATAACCTAAATGTTTCGGTATAATCTTGTGACAATAACTGACTAGGATTATTTGTTTCATTCGTTTTGCACACAGCAATTTTCTAAAAACACTCAAAGTTAAAATGATCGGGGAAACCGATGTTATGGATATAGTTGAAATAATAGATGAAACTTCCACTAATGCGGTGAAAATAGAATATTTTTAAAGTAACCTGCTCGTTTGTTATGTAATTTTTTTTCACCGTGATTTTTGAGTGTACCACGGCATGAATAGCACAATTGTGAAAAATGATATAAACCAATATCCTTGCGTAACAGATGGTCGGCGTCACCGAGTGCACTCAAACTCAGCTACTCCCTTCCAGAATACACCTTTGGCTATCCGCGGTTAAACCGATCACCTAGTTTATCAGAATGGGTGCTGAGCGGCTGACGGTCAGAGAAGAGCGGATGTATTCTAGCAAGCGCGTAGCTGAGCCTGCTTGAGTGTACTCGTCGGCGCAGACCGTCAGTTAGGCGAATTAATCGAAATGTGAAATATGGTTCGAATAGGAGACCAAAGCTGTTTCATTCTGTCGTTACGAATTTATAAAAATTTACAAATTTTTTCGAGTTAATAATATTTTTGCATTTAGTCGGTACTATTTTTAGAACTAGGAGCTATTTGAATTACTATTTTTTCTGTAAATCAAATAAAATATTCCCGGGTACATTTTATCCACCGCGTGTGCGGCGATAAATTTCGTTAGCGCAGCTATGCACTTCGCTCTTAGCAAATAGTTCTCGGAAAGCATTATACATGACAAGCAGATCTCAGAAGCCAAAATTTCGTTTCATGTCGCTTGGCGACTCTTATTCAATAGATGCTTTAACAAAGATAAACATAATATACCTATATGATCATAGATGGCGAATTCATACCAGAATACTTTGCTAACACTCAGATATAAGTGAAATTAAGACAAAAATAGACAGTGATATACAGTCAATAAAGACATGGTGTGATAACAATGACTCAACTTTCAATGTTAATAAAGTAAAATTTCTGACAAGGTATATTCTTTAATTCACCGGTAGATTCCATCACTGATGGATCCGCTGAACTTTTGGTTGACAGCTGATGTGATGACGTCAGCAACCGGTCCCGTTCAAAGTTTATTAATAAAAAGAGGCATTTTTAGCCTTCAGGTTGCTGTCATATGAGAAAACCTAACCTTTGTTTTATCGTGAATGGATATTTGTTAATTTGTACTCCGTATCATTTAAGATCATGTCAATGTACGCAGCAGTTGGTATTGTTGTGGAAAGTTTGTTGAGCGATTCGAGTGATTCGGATGAAGAAGTTATCCAGTGGAGAGAAAGAACAAATTTTCAGATATGCATAATTCAAAATAAAATCACTTTCCTTCAGATGCTCTGTTTATTCCGAATTGTGTTAAGCAACACATTAAATTTCAGGCCAATCCTATGCTGTAGCATGGCATCAATCTTTTCTTCTTCCATTTTTCACACAAAACTGTAGTTGTCAAAAAATGATAAAATGTATAGGTTAGAATATCATGGATCAGCCGAGCCCGAACGTAGGTGGACGCTGTTGGCACCGGTGGCATATCAACCATCAATATAAAGACAAGTTTTATGTACAACCGGTCGTTCCAGCGGAAATTAAAGGACGCAAAATTGGCTAACCGGTTGTACCAGTAGCTCGACCGGTGGATTAAAGAATATACCTACATTCATATGCTTCCTTGGCGTAAATCTAAATAATGAATTGATACACAAAACAGACACAGACAAAATTTTAGGACTGACCGCTGATCATAAATTAGATTTTACTAACCAAGTACACTAATTGCTCACTCAATTAGCAATATTTACTTTACTATAAGAAGAAGTACTCAACGTAGAGTAAAGCACAGCCTTGAGCAGTACTTTGCCTAATTTGTTTCCAAAATTGATTAAAACAAGCGCTTACTCTACAGAAGCGAATTATTAAATATCTAACTAAATGTTCTCAGAGCTGCAGGCCTTTATTTCTGAATCTTAAAATGCAGGCCTTTATTTCAAAACCTTAAAATGATCACTGACATATTTTCATTTTAGAAACAGCAGCTCTTATTGTTACAAATGAATCTAAATGTGAAGCATAAAATATGTTACCATATAATAGACGGAAACAGGTTCTTGAATTAGTAATATCTAAATCAACACTTGTGAAAGACTCAATAGTTTATATTCGTCTGGAAATTTACAAGTGCCTTCCTGTTGCTATCTACCTTTTCATGTAAACCATATTATACCATGTGTGAGTTTATCAATTCATTTACTCAAATATGTAATTTTGTTATAGATTACTTTTAAGTCTTTGTCATTAAGAATGATTATATTCTTCAGACAATGAAGCATATATATATATATATATATATATGTCATACCTAGTACTTTGTTCATCCACTCATTATAAGTGATATGTTGTATCTCGGCAATAACAATCCTCCTGGCCTCCTGGAAGATGACCTCATCATCCCAGTCCTTGTTGAGTGTTGCCAATCGATCAGCTATTCGGTTGTGTTCCCTGAACCAAAGCGTATGCATGGCGGTGAGCACAGGCTCAAAGTTGACACGGGAGTCTCCAGACGTAAAACATACGTCAGAATCCGAAGATACCTGCAAAAAATTCTCTCATGAGCCCAAAAAACATTCTACACAAAGTTATTCATAATAAATACAATGCTAAAGAGAATAGAGTTGGTGAATTCGGGGTAGCGCTTGAGTACGTAAGCATTAGGTCCTGGAACAGAAATTTACCATTCGCTGTCTGCATGCTGACAGCGCCGCCTCATAACCATAATTATTCGAGACCATTCAATTCTTGGCAACTAGATATTTTGGTCTGGATGTTCGGCCTGTTTTTCATTGAAATTGAATAATACCAAATAAAATGACATGAAGACTAGATGTTTCGATACGGATTTTCGGCTTGTTTTTCAACGAAATTAATGAAATCAAATAAAACTACTTAAAGAGGTTGTGTTGCGAATTAAACTAGGTAACTTGCGTACTAAAAATGAATGTGATAATACGTAGGGGATTTGCTTCCATGGGACATGATTTAAGCTTCCAACCTCACACTACGCAAAAGGGAATAAACTGGTGCTATATCAGCATGTCAGAGACGTTGAAGAGCCAAACGCGAACGGGTAAAGCTATACAATATCATTAAATGTGAGTATCTATCTACTTGATAAAATTGTATTTATGAGTTAACTGCAACGTATATTAATTACTCAAGTGTCTAATTCCAATTCCATATAAATGCTGAACGTTTCCTTAAGTTAAGTGCGATTATGTTTATAACCAACGTGAACAAGTGCAAACATGTTGCTGCTTTAATACAGTATATCAACACAGAATAGTACTTGTCAAAAACAAGCAGTAAACAACAATAGGGAAAATGTATAGTAAAAATATAATTTATTTATTAGTATCATACTACGTTATGTTGCTTACTGTTTTCTCTAGCTATCCTTTTATTTATTTGCTCTCATTTTCATGTTGCTGTAGAAAACATATAGTACTGTTTTTTTTTCATTATTTTTACAGTTTGCAAAGTTAAACGCTTTTACATGAAAATATTTAACAAATTTTACGTGAAGTTGTATGAAATATAGCAATTTGATATACAGATTTTAATACCAAGCTATTTCACATATCTGTCATATCACGCACTGCGATGATACTGTATGACCTAGACCAGTAGTCGCCATTAGTCTCCAGCCCGTCGATCGCAAGCTACCAGTAGCCCGCGCAGGCAATTCTGGTGGCTCACAACATATTTTAAAAAGGTGTAAAAATCGCAAAAGCTTCCGTAAATTTTGTAAATTCTCATAATAAACACAAGCAGCCTCAACACTGCAGTGAGCGATCTGTTCAAGACCGATCTCGATTAGTTGGAAAGGAATAAATACGCAAGCTGCGGGTAGAGTGCGCTCAGTTTAAAAGTGAATAATGGCACAAAGACCAGCGATTGGGTTGGAGTTAGCCTGCAATCAAAAACATTATGAGCAGTAGTAAGAAGATGAAGACATACCATTTCCATTCGCAATGGGAAGAACAATGTTTCTTTACAGAAGTTAAAGGTAAAAACGTATGTTTGTTATGTAATATATCGGTTTCCGTTGCTAAAAAAAGGGAATATCGAGAGGCACTATAAACTGTACATTCGAATTTTGAAAAATCATTCCCACTATGTTCTGCAACCACAACCGAGAAACTTAAACAATTGAAAAATCAGTTAAAAACAATCGACAAAAGTAAGGATGCAACTGAAGCATCATACTGGGTGTCCCAGATAATAACACAAAAGAATAAACCTCTTATGAAGTCTGAGAAATGATAAAGCAGGCGTTTTAGAAGCTGCAGGTTGATTATTTGCCAACTTTAGAAATAAAGACGATATAGTGTCTGCTATAAAATCTATGCAACTTTCTGCTAATACCATGATGAGATGAGTAGAAGTAATGAGCAATGATATAAGTTTTACAGTCAAGAAATGACTTGGATAACTGTGCATATTTTTCACTGCAGCTGGATGAATCCACAGATGTCGTGGACACCTCTCAGATGGCCGTGTTCGTCGGGATGGTTTTTAGTGATTTTACGATTAAAGAAGATCTTTTGAAGTTTATTCCACTGAAAGAAAAGACTGCTAGGCAGGACTTGTTTTCTTCTATCAAAAATATTATTTCTTCTAATAAAATTCCGATATCGATATGGTAGGCTTGACAACCGATGGCACTGCAGCTATGGTGGGTCGTGATAAGGGTCTAAGAGTCTCGTGGGGTTATGTCATAAAGATGAAAGTTTTCCGCAATTTCTTTGTTACCACCTCATTATCCATCAGCAAGCATTATGTGGACATTTTCTGAAACTAAACAACGTTATGAAATTGCTAGTAAAAATTGTGAACAAGATTAGAGCTCAAACGTTACACATAAGATTATTCAAAACTGGATGTAGTTATGTAGTATGTATTAGCTATTAGTTTATTCAAGTTAATTAGTATGAATTAGTATTAGCAAAATAAACACGTGTGTCGCATACAACTGTATATAACTTCATTCAAGTTGGCTTACATTGCTTACGACTAGGTAGCTCACTGTTTTTTTCTAAATTTATCTAAGTAGCTTAACACAGAAAAGGTTGGCTTATCACCTTCTATGTGATTGTAGGGTTGGTATCGTTATAAATCGAAAAACAAAAGAAAGCATTAGCTTTCTGAACATAAAGGATTCTTAGATACTGCTCACTTTGATTCTTGGTAATACGAGTAGTACCTTTGATATCCTCAGGTTAAAAGTGTATCATAATACCAATCTTAGCAGCTTTATTTATATTATTTCTTATCAGGTAAAAACGCTATTATTTTTCTACTTACAAGACAGTCCTTGGTAGGGTGCGAAGAAAGTGGTGGGAACTGAGCTTTGGAAACCTTCAGTCTTCCACTGTAGAAAGCACGAAGACTTGCAGTCTTATTTGCTGTTGCTCCGTAAATTTGGGATCCGTCCAAGAAGTGTGTTGCTTGATTGAGCTGCGATAAAACAAACAAAAACATATTTAGATAATCCATAGAACATCTTGCACATCTGGTACTCTTTGGCTCATTAATCTGGAAAGTACCGCTCAGACTTTTTTACATAAGACTACCATGTCAAGAGAGAAAAAGGAGATAATTTACTCAATCACGTTAGAAGTGTTACACCAGGAAAAATTAATTTCCTCAACTTGATTTTTTGGCAATGAGGTAGTCTTACATCAATAATGAAACGATAACATTCTCACGAAATGTTATTGACAAGTAATAAGAAAAATATGGGGACGTGCGTTGTCTTGCTGAAAAAGGACGTTTGGACGGCAGTGGTTTGTAGCACGATACACATACACTGAAGATAGGATATTGCGCATGTGGGCGGAGCTTCGTGAAGTCACCCGGAGAGTTGTCGGGTCGTGGTTACCAGCTGCAGGATTGTCGTAACGTTACTGCAGTTCACGTGTATCGTGGTTAATACTATATAGTGCGATTTTCTGTTGAAGAGCAGCAACATTGACTGCCCTGAAAAAGCTTTTTATTTATTTTTCAGGTCAAGAATGTTCTTCCGGGTCAAAGAACTGAATAAAAGTTTGAAAGACCAGAAAAATCGTGAAAGGAAATGGAGAAAAATGGTGGCTCAGACTAAGTCATTTCCATTTATTGTTATACCGCCAGCTTACTGCAAAAAGATGATAACTCCATTTTTCTACTCTTCGAGTTGCGTACATTATCACACTTGCATGTAGTTAGTACTTAGGATGTTTTGTGAAATAAGGATGAATAAATGTAATGCAGTATTAATGTCATGAGCATGTTAATCCTACTCCACAGAACATACTAAAATATAGGTAATGTAGAAAAATCTTGCTTTTACAGTAAAGTGATACACGCTCTATTGTGGAGCTAGAAAGCCGTTTAAGCTATAGCCTGTGAGATAACAATTACAAGGTTAAAATCTTTTATTTAAATCCATTTTGTTTTTTGTATAAAATTCTAATGTAGATTGTGTCACTCGCACTGCTACGACGAATCCGACGACACTTCATATGTGAAAATGCGTCCTGCCGTTTGGCCTGTAGGTGAAAATATGCACATTATCCATATCAACCCAAATGATAATCACGCGTGACGTCATGCGCGCCGGCGGACGAAACTCGAACAGCAGAGCATCCAACACTGGTCTGTAGGACATCATCAACATAACGCGTAGCAGTCATATTGCCTTGAACAAAGAGAAGGGGTGATCGGCTACCATAGGCAATAGCCCCCCCAAACCATTATTGCAACAGTCCTGTGTACATGCCTCTCAACAGCAAATCCAATATCACGCCGTTCTCCACGGCAGCGCCTTACCCTTCTACAACCATCGTGCGTACCTACAGGAGACAGAATCGCAATTCGACGCTGAACATTATGCCATTCTGTCCCCCAATGTTGCCGTTTTCTGCTCCAATTCAAACGTTGACGACATCAGTCCGCAGTCATAGGAAGCACTAAGCGTGGGCGGTATGAAAAAACTCCAAAGGCTTGAATGCGAGTAACAGGTCTGCCTTTTTCTCCAATCCATTGGTCAGCGATCTAACGCGTAGTAGCAAAACGGTCTCGTTGGGCTAGTTGTCTGAAGCCCCTATCTTGACGCTCTATGATATGCCTCGGTGGACCAGTTGGCCGTCTTCGTGTTCCTCTTACCTTCTTCTATCCACACACGAGACACACGCATTACCGTCATAGCGCTACAATTAACACAGCGGCCAATTTCGCGATAGGACAAACTGACATCTCGATAGACAATAATTCTACCCCTGTCAAAGCTATGAGCGAAGAACGAAAGATTTCAGCCCATAGACTTTGTTCCTTGATCTTGTTTCTGATAATAATAACTTCATGATTCGGCGTTTTTTCATGAATACGATGAGTGACAAAACGCCGATCTTTGCTCACCTCTTTTTTGTGTTTTGAAAATTAATCCACTAGCAGAAAAGCTATGAGCGAAGAACGAAAGATTTCAGCCCATATACTTTGTTCCTTGATCTTGTTTCTGATAATAATAACTTCATGATTCGGCGTTTTTTAACTTTTGAGCACCTTAGGGGTAATAAAAGATGTGCCAACCTTCTTGACTATGCTTTTTTATTAATTTCTTGATATTACTTTCTCTTTCATATCGTGTCAGACAAACTTACTTGCTCTGCATGTCCAAAACTGCAATCTGATCTGACAGCTGGTACCGATCTGACAAAGTTCATGCATCCGACGTTGTGCTTGTGGTAGTATTCATCCGATGCTGGTACTTCTATGGGTGAACACAACGGATGGATATATCTCGGAGACAAGTTGTAATTGTCCGAGTTGCAGCACCTGATAGTGTTGTCCGAGTGAACTGAAAAAAAAACACATCAGTGAAAATCAACTTAGACTATATAGCCTAGGAGCAGCCACTAAGGTCACATTTGCTGTTATATGTCTCCCCAGTTGAATGGCGGGCATTATTAAGCACGTATATAAAAAATCAGATCACGCGATCAAACTCGTGGTCGTTTGGCCGCCATATTTAAAAAAGGCCGCCAAACTGTACGACGGCAATGCAACACATCTTATCTTATTTAGATATACCAAGGTTTTCAATTTGCGCAGTTATTCGCCGGACCCCTTTCAGTTGTCTAAATCTACTATCCACTACTCTTTTGAAATCAATTTTCAACTGCGGAAGCAATAACGGGAAAAACTAATAAAAGGTAATTGAGTCCTTTTAGAAGGACTTAAGCTATCTACTTTTGCTTAACAAAATAAAACGGTGTGACCGAAGAGAGCATTGAACGTAAAAAGACGTGTACGATTGCGATTTTTGTCGCTAAGAAATTAAAACCCAGGTATTCGTTATAAACATATTCTGTATCCTTGCTTAAGTATAGAATATAATTTGGTGATTGAAAATATCCACTGTGGGGTGAGGATGGTTTTGGCACCTATTTTTCAAAAGAGGGCATGTAAGGTTTTTGGAAATTAGTTTTTTGAAATGAAAGTAAGTGACAACTGATTCAAGTTCCATCAACAAATATTGTTTGCGTTTCGTTTTTATGAGAAACAACTTGTAGATTCCGAATGTTAAAAGCATTCATCACTACTTTTCTCATACCTCCATCAAAAGACAGCAATAGTAGTATCAGAAGGAACATGTCGTTTTCACCTATGGCTTGAAATTCTTGGCAACTTCGATACAAGTAACGGTTGTACCTCCTTCCTAAAAGAAGATGCGGCCAGCAAAATACTATATTAGGTATAGTAAAAGATGGTAGTGAAATAAATAGTTATATATATATATATATATATATATATATATATATATATTATAAGTAAGTTTTGTATGTACATAAAATTCTGGAATATATCTATCCGGGCGTAGCCAAAACAGTGCATGGCTCTTCAAGTATTTCCTTTGAAAATATTTCTTGGCAATTCCTTTCAGACCTTCACCCAAAGCCTTCCAGATCTCATGATTACTATTTTCTAATACTAATTCAACTGTTTAAAGAAACTTACTCATCACAGATACTGCCGTTCTGCTAAGGTCATGTTCCAAGAATTGCCCCCATTGCATCACAGCCAACGTCAAATCACGGGTAGGAATGCCGGTGTTCGTGACCAAAGTAAGACTGACGAGTCTTGGATTTGGCAGAGGGCGCTTGTTGACAGCTCGGTGCGGGATGCGAATGCCGTCAAGGTAGTCAGCCGGTAGAAGTCTGAAAAAATGATCAACTGTAAATAAATGTCATTTATGATTGTCGCACTTGCGAAATTCACCGATCGAATGGGGTCATATTGAAGAAACCATACAAATATGTTCACAAAGTGCTAATACTTTTATAGAAAGTAACATTTATGAATAAGGTTTCTAATCACAGAGACCCGAATTGCTTATGCATGCGTTTCAAAATAAAAATTTTAATTGTTAGTTATTGGCCTAGTCTTAAATATGCCGAAATTGTCCACATAATTGTCAAAACTACAACGATCCTAGCTAATTCTAAAACTCACATGACTAAAAATTCTGAACTCCCATCAAACTATTCTTTATAGCTCCACCCGTACCAATTGGCGAAGAATAATCACAAAGATTTTCGAATTCGAGATATTATGTTTTTTGGAAGTATATACATATATGTTACACATCACAAGAACAACGACACCTTTTGTCCGTCTGTCGGGCTATTACTACTATGCGGCGGCGGAGCTACACTAAAAAGACGAAAAAAGTTAAGAATCACACCGTAATTCTACGCATTATCAGACATATGTCACAGGTCATGTCAAAATTTTCAACACACGTGTAGAACGCAACGAACATAGGGAGATAAATCTATGCAGGTGGCTGACACTGGTGGCTGGCGGGGTTTAGTCATAGCAACGTTGCCAGATGGTCGGTACTACCAAAAGGGCAGTGAAGAATGGGTGGGGACTATGGATATGGACTAATTGTATAGGCCTGTTTGTCTGACATTATCCAATTAATTTTTTTGTTGTACATGCTCGTAGCTAACTTTTTTCTCAGAGGGGCTAACGTGTGCCGAACATAATCCTTTATAAAGTGATGACAGCATTGCGTGGGAAGTGCAGAGTCACCATACCTGACACCATTTTTTTATTTGACAGCATTGCATGATAATCTACTTGACAACATTTCGAAATCATAGCTAAGGGAGCTTTGATAATGTAATAATAGTATTCAACATTGTAATCCTTAAACGCATAGTCGTTCTATCGCTAGCAGTCTGAGACTTCGTCCAATTGTAGACAAAAGATTAAAGTTTACTAAAACTATTTACACCAGTATCAAATATTACGTGTCATTTTCTATCAATATCGTACAAAGTCCTTGGTTATCGTATTCATTAGACGCAGCTCATAGAATATTCATTATAACTTTCTGCCTATGTATAGCTCCACAACGCACATACTAACTACATTTCTCTCGAAGTAATTCATATCATATCTATACAAGGATAAATACATCGTAACTATAAAAATGCATATAATCATATTTAAGTGCTAACAGAACGCAGAAATAATACGAAATTACAAAATTACATTGGTCACTGAACTGCAGTAATACGATAAACACACACTTCCCAAGTATTTGTGTTGACATTGTTTTGTTTAGTTAGGCTTATCTCTTAAGTTTTTCCTCTTCATTGGTATAGTTACGGTACATGTGAATAATAGTTGTTAAGTCGGGCATTCCATTTGAGAACCGTTATCTTGAAAATGAGTGGTCTTATGGGATGAAGATGTACTTGCCTCCATTTATAGTCCTGAACTTCTGGCAACATAGTTAATATAGGTTTCGATCTTTTGATAAACGTCGCCACCGCTCTTCTTTGGGTGATATTACTGTATTTTGAGGTATTTTGTTTGGCTTTCTTGCTTTTTAAAATCATTTACCCGTCATTTTAGTTCTTCTCGTTAGCGGATTGATTTTGAGTTTGGTAGTGATTAATCAAAGAAATCAAATGCCCAATTTTGTACATTTCCCCTAAACATTAAAGAACTGCGGAAATGTCCTTGATATTTTTAAGGGCTGTGGGATCAATAAGACGGCGAGATTTTACGACACTTTAATAGTAGGTTGTTGTTGAACCGGCAATCTGGTTTTTAATTTAAATAAAAATATTACGCGGCGTAAGGAGGACTGACTCCCTAACCCCTAACATCCACTGTTTTCATACACTTCACTTATTCCCGAAAACACTCCTGAATCTCTTCCCCGTCACGATGCTTCCCGCATGTTGACGAAAATAACCAACTCCGACATATTTTGTTTTCAAGTGGGATGAATATTTTTATAGGCAGTAAAAATACGTGCCATTAGTCACAACAGGTTTGTTCGTACAAGGGTCGGTGACCTGTCGGTGACTGTGTCTGAGATCCGGCCGGGTGAATATCGAGTATATAGCGTAGCAGAGTGAACAGAATTTGTGTGGATCTTGGACACGGTCACTGACAAGTTGGCAACTGCTGTACGAACAGCACTAATAACGTTTAGTATTGCACATAAAATGCATATACACGTGTTTCATAATGTTTTTAAAAAACACGTGTTGACAAAGCGAACATTATGGTTTAGCATTTTATATTACGCACAAATTTTATTTTCGGATTTTGCATTAAAAATCACCCAATAATATTTTATTGTGAAACATAATCCAGTGAGTGGATATACTGTTTTAGTTTTTACCAAACCAATGTATTACGTTGATGTCGGGCAAGTATCGTAACTTGACAGCAGCAATGCCCAGTTGAAAATCGCAAAAAATTATGGAAACAGCATTGAACTCACGCCTTCAGGCTTCTGCTCCGGCGCCGTCTACGATCTGGTGGCAGTCAACTGGGGCAAAATCAGCGATATGTTTACCGAAGTAGGTATGTAAAAACATGATGTCGACCAAAAGACAGTCAAAAATGAACAGCTGCTTCGTGCTTTTTGGCTACTCTTGAGTCTTGGCTTGACCTCTCCTATCTGCGACAGCGAACGTAGGGACAATGAACGACAGCATCTCAACCATCGTCTATCCAGAAGGTATGGTCTATCTTTTAGTTGGAGGGACGAAAGCATCATGGTTTGTTTGTTCAATGGCAAGTAAACCACATCTACTATACAGCCAGAATCGTCAGCCATCCAGCGATCACATGGTAACTGGGCTATTAAACGCGAACTAATAATCTTTACATTTCCAACAAATATAGCTGCTATACAGGGTTATCCAAATTAAGTGTCCACCATTAGTAACTTTGTTATTAGTGAAAATACAAAGATGTTTGAATTAGCAAACTAGTAGCATTTTTAACGCTGGTAAAAATGAGAAATAAAAAAAAAACAATTGAGAGTCGTTATTTTGATTTTTTTCAGTAAAATAACATTTTTTTAAATGGAAACCCCTGTATATTATATTTTTTTCTGTTAAAGCATCAAATTTTAAACAAAAAAGCTTACAATAACTTTTCTCCTAGGTTACAAATTGTTGAAGTTATGGCCTCCAATCTGAAACAATTAAATTGTATCGACAAACTTTATTTTCAACATCAACTTATAATCTTACAAAAAACAATAACAATTTTTTTTAAAGAAGATGCTCGAAAACACCACCTTGTTCTTCAATACATTTTTGGGCACGTTTTTCAACTGCTCGAACTGTCTTAAGTATGGTCCTACCATCTATCTGGGTTATCTTTTCCCTAACTGCAGTCTTTAACGCGTCAAGGTTATCGTACCTTCGCTTGTAAATTTGGTTCTTTAAGTAACCCCACAAGAAGTAATCAAGTGGGTTTAGATCTGGTGATCTGGGAGGCCACTGTATTGGGCCATTTGTTCCTATCCACTGATCATTAAAAGTAGTACTTAGAAAATGATAAGTACCTCTGGAGTTGTGGGCAGGTGCGCCATCTTGCTGAAAATGCAGATGATGTCTACTTATAAGATCCAATTCGTCTAAGAAATTAGTCAGAATTTCTGACATCAATTCCACATATCTTTCACCAGTTAGGGTTCCCTCATAAAAGAACGGGCCAACAATTTTTGAACCAATTATACCGCACCAAACGTTGAAACTGAAACGGACTTGTGGGCCTCTTGGATGTACTAACAAAAGATTTTCTCTTGACCAATAATGGTGGTTTTTTCTATTAAACATTCCAGAATTTGAAAAATTTGATTCATCTGTCCATAAAAGGTAACGAAAGTTATTTACATTTTGGCGACAGAAGCTAAGATACCAATGGCAAAAAACAAGTCTTCTCTCTGGATCCCCTGCCAAAAGCGTTTGAACTGGTCGGTACTTATACGGAATAAATTTGTATTTTTTTAAAATCCTTTGAACAGTACCATAACTGAAATTAGAGTCCTTGAGAATATCTGCTATTGAATTCTCACGATAAGCTTCAAAATATCCAATAACTGCAATTTCCGTGGCCTCGCTTATTATGAATTCTTTTTTTGCCCTTGTTTTAGCAAAAACATTTTCGTTGCCCCTAAATTTTCGATAAAGTCTCAGAAAATATCGTTCATACGGTTGAATGCGAGCGGGATATAATTCACTGTAGTATTCTCTTGCTCTCAAGGAGGATTTTCTGCACACTAAATAGCATTCTAACATATCACACTTTTCTTCATGGGAGAACATTTTTCTTTAAATTAATGACACAATAAAGCTTATAAACAAGTATTTACACTAATGTTTGACATTATTTGATTTTATCATTGTTTTCCAAAGCCTTCTAGTTGCGAGTATGTCCAGTTTAACAATTTGTCGCTTATCTTAATGCTGTCAAATCGCGAACGCCATGTTGTTTTCATAGCCGTCTTAATATTATAATACTGCAAATAATTAAAAATATTTATCGTTATTTTGACTTTATTTTTGACTTTAGCGGAAAAGTCATTATGAACTTTTTTGTTTAAAATTTGATGCTTTAACAGAAAAAAATATAATATACAGGGGTTTCCATTTAAAAAAATGTTATTTTACTGAAAAAAATCAAAATAACGACTCTCAATTGTTTTTTTTTATTTCTCATTTTTACCAGCGTTAAAAATGCTACTAGTTTGCTAATTTAAACAACTTTGTATTTTTACTAATAACAAAGTTACCAATGGTGGACACTTAATTTGGATAACCCTGTATACTCTCCGCCGTAATAGATTTTGGCGAATTATCAAAACATACCGCTTTACGCTTTCATATATTATTTAGTTATCGTTTTCATATTCAAATTAAAAGATCATTTATTACCACCACATTTAGACAACTTCATAAAATTAAATAGTCATTATCATAACTACGAAACTAGAGGCAGTATAGATTTTCATCTGCAAAATTGTAAGTAATAGTAGCATTACTAGTAAATCTATATTTCAAAAGGGAGTATTTCAATTTAATTTAATAAATTGAATAATGATATTAAACAGAGTTCGAATTTAAAAATGTTTAAGGTGAAATTAAAGAATCACTTTATGAATAATCAAAATGCATTGTGACGTAATTTTAATTTTAATTCTAATAGACAAGAATGTAAAATTACAGAAAATGGATTGAAGAAAAATATGTAACCGAATCATTATACAAAATTGACATTGTAGCATTAATACTAAATAAATCTTCAACAACAAAAAAAATATATTTCGATACCCTAAATAGTGGCACTATCAAAACTTGATTCGTAGGTAAGGTTAGCTTGCGTTTCAAAAATCTTACCAATAGTTATCAAATGCTGTAATTGTTGGAGGGCTAAATAAAACGTGTTGAAGTAAGTAGCCAAACACATGTCATCCTCACGTATTAAAATATTGTAGAAATGCTAATGATTTGTTTGTCGAATAAAGTCTATTTCTACTTTAAATTAATTCCAACTGAAAGGTATTGGATTAGTATTAGCGCTACAATAACCATATTAATATTAAATCATCAGCTGTAATCCCTACAAATGTAAATGAGAAAGTAAATGCTACTCAATCACGCCAAAATGGCTTGAAGGATCTGGATGAACTTTGGCACAGAGATATAGTCTGGAATGACACTTTAGTCCCGGGAAATAGCTTTGAAATATCTATTTCACGGGCTACAATCCGCTACATGGAATTTGAGGTGAGGTGTCTGGCGCGCAAGCGCTCAGTCGCTGGTCCTACTGAAATGAATCAGGGTATTACATGTCAATAAGACATTTTCGTCGTGCATTTACTGCATTTCGACAATCGCTTTCTTACCGTGCTCATCTTGATTTAGATTTGTTTGGTTTTTTGTTTTAAATAAGTATAATACTTAGAATAAATATTGGATTATTTGTCGTACAATATTTAATACCTCTAGACCGCTAAGGTACATTTATGTTATCTAAAAAACTCTAATACTGTGCAGTGCGATATCTTTTTTCTCTCTTTATAAATGTGATTGTCAAACTAGTCTGTGAGCATCACGTCTGAACCACAATGCAGAGAGACATACAAATGTGTACACATACTATTGATACCTGAGGCAGGTTATAGGGGATAGTTGTATCCGCAAACTCATTGTTAATTTTGCAATCAACTGTGCTGTCAAGTACCAAAATCTCCACCGTCAGCATCAAACTGGAAACAGTGTGGCTAGCATCGCCCCCACTGAATCTTTGACCGTCAAGCGACAGCAACGGTTCATTTTGCTTGAAACTGTTACCTACTCAAAACATTGTTTTTAAGTAATGCTATGATCACATTTTGTATCTTTCGTAACATTAGTAAACTGAGAGCCAACTTGCATGCTTGGGAAATGTGGTTACTTTATTAGTAACGCCACCTATGTTTTGCGGGTAGCAGCGGGGCAGAAAGCTACTATTTATTAAATTAAGTTCTCAAACGTTTGCAATCTATATTTTACACGAGCTAGCCCGGTTGCCTACTTTAGGATCTATAACGACCGTGCCATCTTTTTTCTGTTGTACGTCGTGACGGACTTAACGATACTGCTTCTGTCATGGAATCTCGTAAAAAAACATTACGCTCATAATACCACGTATCTTTATGCCGTACAGTGAACAGTGATGCAAATTATAATTTTCAAATCCAGTTCAAAAACATAGTATCAAAATTGATTTTGTATGGTAGATATGGTGTAACACTTGCGTACGAGCTTCCGAAATTGACTCTAACAACGATTCTAGAATGACGCTGGTTTTTGAGTAATCTCACCTTGCATATGCTGTGAAAGCTTCTCCCCAAGCTCCGTTCTTTCCGTTGTTGCACAAACCATCACCAGATCTATACATGTAGCCATATTCTTCAGCGGTACACTTCTTGGTGAGATGTTCACACGATGATCCTAGAGGTGTTCCGTCCAAGCTAAACCGGTTCATGAAACGGGCGCAGTCTTTGTAGTTGAATGACATGCTAAAAGAAATCCATTAATATAGGTACATGATATAACGACATCGTAATTAGAACTTTGAACACCAATGAGACGTCAGCATCGGCGCTTAGCCTAGCTGGAGGCTCGAGGGTGCATACGGGTGCCTAGAGTGGACAGGAAAGTGGACGATGAGTCAGTAATAGCGCGAAACGTGATAGTTCAGTCGTCATGACAATAAGTTTTGTAATGAATTAGTTGCAAGTGTTGCGATACATTCGTGCAAGAGTAAATTATCTTTGAATGGTGAAAATGGCAGAGCCACTACATTCGCAAAGCAAAATTGAAGACGAATTCAACTTTTTCAAACCATTGATGGGTGGCTATGGTCAGATTTTTCATCTATTTGTACCAAACATTCTTTCAAATTTAGCAAACCATTTGTAGGTGGCTATCTGATTTCCCAACTATTGGCGCACAACACTTTGAGCTTTTCAGAAGACCATAACTACTTGTTTGCTTTCCGTTTGTCTGTCACCAAGACTAGGCTTATACCACACTGATGAGTACGAATGAGGACGAAACAGCGCGGTCTGCAGTTGATCCTGGTTACAGATACGGAAAGCACACATATTCAGTTCAGCCATGTTTTATAAATATTTCAACTTCATAATTATGGAGTATCGGAATGTGAAAATATTTTTTTATGTATCTTCTGAAAATTTTTACTGAACCAACTCCATATACGATCGATGAAAAGAAAAAGGGTAGAATAAGCAGTTTGAAAAAGGTAGCCGAATCGTTAATAGAGTAACTTTTCAATGTATTTTGTCAGCTAATAGAAAATGACTTCAAATGATAAAAAGAGGTATTTTTCATGATTCTCCAGAGATGAAACAAATCGCAATTGATCCTGCGATTATTTACTTGATCGTTAATGTCGTAGGAAAAAAATGCACAATACACAATTTATCCTAGAAATAGACATACAGATGCATTATGTGAAAACTACTGAATCCACATAAATAAATGTTTGACTCAAATAATAACTACTTCAGTTTTACACTCACTTTGACTTCTTCATCAATCGCGTTAAATACAATAAAGAGTTCAGCATTTCTACATTACCTTAGCAATACAGGTGTTAATGTTGAACAAGGAATTTGTAGAAAATATCCTAGAGTAGGATATTCCAAAATTGTAAAATTACGTATCTGTCAGTAAACGAAAATACTTTTAGATCCAGATGTACTTCAATCAAACTTAGTACCACCACCTGTTTCACGCCAGGTGTCGTGTTTAGATAGAAAATACCTACATAAAATAAAAAAAACTCGCTTTCTAGGTAGTTGTTGGGTCTGCTTGGTGACTACTGGCGATAGTGACGATTCAAAGACTTTCGTTCACTCAATTTATGAGAAACTACCATTGAACTAAAAGACCTTACCTACCTCCCCAAATTCCTAGGTTTTTGATTTTTGTACATTCTATCGCATCACATTGAGATCTACTAATTGGCATTTGAAAATTGAAAATCTGATCAGTATTTTCTGAGATATTAGGGGCTCACCTTCAGTCATCGAAATTACTAGGAATAAACAATACATTCTTTTCAACAGAAATGTCAGTTTTTTCCGTACAATCAAAGGTATGTTGAGTTCTCTTAAGTTAAGAATTCCAAGTGGAAAGGCTAGTAGCTACTGGATATTGTGATGCAAAAATCATGTTTTCTGTATATAGTTCTGACTGCGTTTCTGACCAGATTAGGAATAACTAAGAATACTTACAGTTTTCCAGATTCTAGATTATTCATCGAACCTGCTCACTGTGCTATTGTATAGCATGTACATTCTATGTTGGTCAAAACTAGACAGGCACACCCTAGTAGTAGCATACATTTAGCAACTAAATATCCAGAGAACGCTTTTTATAAAGAAATAAAGCAGAAACTCTTTAGACAGGATTCTATTCTATACCTAATTTATGTTAAATATATCTCTTATCAAGCAGTAATAGATACACAATAAAAGAAAAAAATAACAATCAGATTTTGTCAGAATTGTTGTTTTTGGACGTAGTTTTGTTTGGAGAGTAGCGTATGCACGTTTAATATGTGGCCATCGAAAAAAATCCAAAAATAATATTCAATGTTTATTGAGATTTCGAGGTAGGAACCTAAGAGCACTCCACCATAAGCTCCAAAATCATTTGTATGATTCAAAATACCTAAAAAATTACTCACCTTCCACACATATGCACCACTAACTGAATGCTAGCCTCAACAGCTCTAAGCGCCTGCCTGCCTCTCTGCAACGCCTCCACTTCGGGCGTTCCCGCGGCGAACTCGCCTTGTGAAGGCGTGCCGTCCTTTAATATCACCTTGGCACTGACCAGGTTGGCCTCCAATCGATGCAGCGTGTCGAGGATGCGTTCGGCGAAGACGACGCTATCATTCAAATCGGAGGGCGTGACCAGCAGGCGGTCGTAGGCATGGGGAAGTGGCGGTTCACGTTGGTCAGCGGACGTGCGGAGTAGGCCGGCGCCTACGGGCAGACAGAGGTTAGGGGCGTTGTAGGGAGCTACAGGGGCTACTGGCCATATACGTCAAGTAAGGTAAGGAAAGAAGGCTCTCTCTTGGTAATTTTAACCTATACGGCCAGTCTGAACTCTAATAATAATGGACACATTGTAAGCGACGTGGTGAGCTCTTGATGCGCTTTGAAATATTGGATCGTTACTGTAACTTCATGGATTCAAATTTAATATTTTTTATTTATAAAAATAAAAAATAACTGTGAAAGTTTCATTTCGTAAGAAAGATACGAAATAAAGATTCATTTTACATAAAACGGCAAATTACGTTTTATATCATCAATAATTGAGAAGCCAATTTTTCAAAATAGTAAACATTAAAATTTTATTGATGTTTTCGCTTAAAAATACCACAGTAATAGTTTTTGCATCAACATAGCGTCAGATATCGGAAATTATTATTTTCCATGTATAAGCAAACGAACGACTGTGGAAACGCGAAAACTTCTAGTTCGAGATAATGATGTTTTAGGTATAAAAATTATGAGTAGTAACAATTATTTTTAAAATGTGTAAGATTTTGGGGCGGTAATTAATCGATTCTTATTCATTTCAAGTTGCATGACCTTTTGTCAGTATCACGAAGGGTCACAAGAACACTCTTTCTAGTTTTGTTAAAAGAGTTTCAGATTTTGTATTTCTATCTTTGCATAATCAGTTTATAGTGATACGTAGTGACAAAATTGACTTTTGTCTATTTAATTTTTATATCATTGATTGCACGTCAAGTACCATCTATTTAAAGCAAAATGATAACTTTATCACTGGTATGTCGTTTTGCCTATTCATGGTTGAATGAATAAAGGAAGAAAATGAAAAAAAATACAAAATTGTTATTACACTCGAACAAGCTATCTTTAAGTAATTTGTATGCGACATCTATAATCTTACGCCAACTGTCAAACGTGTATACAATGAAATATAATATATTTGTAATCACAAGATACAACTAAAAAGGTATCTTCATAACAAGAATAATCACGAACATAGACTCACAAACAACTAAAAATAATTCTAGATAGTTGGCTACCAGGGTAGTTCTAAATGTGCTTAGCTCAAAAGATAGCAACAATTTATAAAGTTTTTCGAACATAATTTGTTAAAATGTATAGTCATTACTAGCGGTCACTGACAGTATTTCCGAAGATGTACCATGAATCCTAAGGCCTCAAACCGCTCCTGCTTTTTTTTATGCACCTTTCTAACTGTATGTTGATGGAGTCTAAAGTTTAAAAAAAAATTCTTTTGAATACTATAGGGTCAGCCTTACATCACTTTCTATACAAATTTGTATAGACTAGACTACAGAAACAGATAATTCTTTGAAGCATAATATTGGATAGCAATTGGTTCCTGAACTTTAAACTATTTTTAACCGGAAAGCACAACGTTAACCTACACAAATGAAATAAAGAATTGTTTACATACATACCAGTGATAAGACTTTTTAGGAAGAAAAATGCATTGAGCAATACCGAAATAACAGCCCGAGTTGTGTGACAATCAGATTGTTAATGCAATCAAAGAAGAATCGATCTTGCCTTCTAGAGCACTAATTTGAGAGGATAAGCTACCATAGCTTTTGTAGCATAAATTTTCCATTAAAATTATTGCAAAAATATGTAACCATAGTCGTCAAATAGAATCAAGTTTAATATAGAAAAGATATGGCAACTGTATCAAAATATCATGCTGACAAATATGATGGCCTTGTTTGCAACAACTGCATGGTCACATCAGTTTCAGGTCAGGCCACCCTAAGTTCATGAAGAAGCTATAATTTTTATGTGAAATAAAACTAAGTTTTTAACAATAAAATTTGATTTTACTCCACACATTCAAAGTAAGAACATTCGACACTACATCTATTCGTTTCATGTTTAATGGGATGCCGATATTTCCATCTTAATGAAATTTCATGGTTTTATTTTGTTTTCACAGTTGACAAGAAATGACGAATATTATGAAGTTAAGTGTACCAAATAGTGAAAAGGGCATAATAAGTAAATTTTTTCGACTTGTTCGAATCAACTAGAGGTTTTTTCATCAAGGAGACTAGACGAATTTAATCTTTGCCTCAATTAGTATGTATGCTTTTCCTTCATATACCTACTTATACAACTCTACTAAATTGGCTTTTGCCCTTTTAACTATTTGCCAGATAAGTATTTGTATATCAAAGAAAAAGTATTCGAATGTTCCTACTTAGATATAGCTGTTCAAACAATAACAAATATGGTGATACGTTAACGTCAAGAACATTGCACAAAAACTTCGTCGTCCCTTCACCAATAATCCGAAACGCTTTTTTGTGCAAAACCATAATAACAATAATAATAATAATAATACGAGAAATTATATTAAATAGAAAATGTATTTAACTTTCCTTACCTCTAAAATACTAGAGTAGGATGAGTTTAATTCCTTCATATTATAATTAGATAATTTACATATCTGGTAGACGTTTTTAAACAACCTAAAAGAGAGAGGTTGTACGATCATTGGCATTTAGAATGCATCTTGCTGATTCTTGATGAACAAAACGTTACCAGTCCCTTCTTCAATTGAGATTCGAAACTATTTGCGTTTGCCATGCTTTTGAGTTCGTCTCAATATTGCTTTTGTGATATGAAAATTGTGCTCATATCATAATTTTTTCGGAATCCTTCTATGAAGCTTTATCTTACTCGAAGGATCTTAGAAATTGGGTGGTCCTCGCCAGTGACAGACAGCCAGTCACTCACAAGTAATGTCTGTATTGCATTTTTTACAATCTTTGGCCACCTTCACACCAAAAACTGAATAAAGCTTGATTTAATTAACGGTAAGGCGGATGTATTGAAATCCATTTTGATTTGTTCATACCACCTTTTCTAATTGCACGGGGAGTACAAGCAATTATTATCATGCAGCCCATCTGTATGTTTTACCATATGTATATAATTATAGTTTCAAGTGATACATGCATGTTAGATTGTTAGAGTTTTTAACTGCTGACACCAGTAATGGAGATGCCAGTTACACAGTTTCAAATTCGACCCTCACCATTGGGATCTCGGAAACTGTAAGAGATACGAAGTAGCTCAAATGGGGGCAAACGTTGCGTATTCAGATAAACAACTAAATGCCGCTTAGAAAGTTTCGAAGTTCAAAGTACTTCCGGGGAGAGAAGAACAAAACCGAATTTTCCCAAATAAAAAAACTAAAATCTCAATTTTTTCCTGACTTTATTTCTAGTGGGATTTCAAAATAAGCTGCACATTAAAATTGACACTTTTTCTCCTCTACAAGTTGGCATAATTAGAATTTCCTGTCCTCCAGTATCAACTTTATTTTTGCACAAACAAATATTATTTATGTTTTTAGTTCTGATTCTAAAAATGTATACTACGTCTCATACATTGACGTTGCCAAACCTTAGTTATTTTACCTAAAAAAGAATGTCCTAGGTAGGTTTTGAAATAATCAGATAGTCATTTGTTTCGCCTACCAGACATACCAAAATCATTTTTATTTTTTCCTAACTTAATTTGAGATCGGTTTCCAAAATCAATTGCCTGTAAACATCAGCACTTTTTCTCCTCTACAAGAATGCATGATTAGAAGTTCAATATGACGTTTCCTCTTTTGTACTCCAACATTAACTTTATTTTTCTTATGGACGCCTTATTGGTTTTTTGCACAGATGACTCGAGTTTTTAAATCGGATTCTGAAAATGTGTAATATGGCATATATTAATTCACATTGTCAAGCCTTATTTATTTCAGAAAAACAGATGTTCCTAGATAGGCCTTGAAATTATCAGATTTCATTTGTTTTGTATATCTACCAGTCCATACCTCAAATTGAACATAGCAACAGAGTTTTGAAGACAGAGAAGAACAGAAACAAATCGAGCAGTAAACAATGTACAGAAAAAGGCCTACAAAGTAACAGACAACATCTTGAATACCTACTATGATTTACCTTTATGATTAATATTGTTATTGACATCGATTGAATTTTGAATTAGTGTTCAGGTTTCACCATACCTTTTTATTTCCTTATAATTTCCATCCAACAACAAATTCGGGGCCAACTGAGGAAATGCGTCACTGAATTTAGGACTGAAAGGTCCATTTAAATGTACAAAATTCCAATATAGCCTCCATATGAAAAACAAAGTAGGTGATGGAAGTTGAAAGAACAGGAAAAAATAAAAGTGGTTTTGGGATAAATCTGGTATGCCGAACAAATGACAATATGATAATTTCGAAGCTTACCTAGGAAATTCTGCATTTTTTAAATAATTAGGGTTTGGCTGTCAGTGTATGTCGTATACAATTTTGGAATCAGAATTAAAAACTCTGAGCAAAAATCCAATACTCCATAAGAAAAAATAAAGTTGATGTTGGAGGACAAGAGACGAAACGTCATATTGAAATCCTAATTATGCCTTCCTATAGGGGAGAAAAAGCGGCAATGTTAATGTGTAATTTATTTTGAAATAACGCTAGAAATAAAGTCAGGCAAAAATTAAAACGATTCTGGAAAAAATCGGTTTTTGCGTTTCCCCCCGGAAGTACATACTTTTAATTTCGAAATTTTCTAAGCAGCATTTGGTTGATTACCTAAATACCTACGCAACTTTGCCTCCATTTGAGGTACTTCGTATTTCTTACCGTTTCCGAGATCCCAATGGTGAGGGCCGAATTTGAAACACCCTGTATAGTGTGAGTATATGCAATTTCTAGTTCCGTTGTAGAGAAATGATGCATGAAAGATTGATATGAGCACATTTTCATCTGTGAGGGTAATCGAGAAAATACTTGCTTTCCATATCTTATCCAGAACACCGGTATCAAGAATCAAATCAAATCTCCCAGAATCAACCAGGTTCGTTTTTCATACAAACTCTCAGTTTATTCACAACTTCCATACGTCTTGTCCTATATCCACGAAAACTATATTTCTAGGTATTTCATTTAACGTATTAAGCTCACATTTAAAAATAAAATTATGCCTTATCAAAGCACATATAAAGTACCAAAATGACTTCTTTTTAGTTCCATAACCTTAAAACCACGCACGTGACACGCAGGCTTCCAATAAAATAGAAATGCAGCTAATTTTCGATCACCCCCTGTATCTATATGGTTACTAGGGCATAGGTGCGGCTTGTACCTGTAATCGGGATGGGCAATAAAGTAGCACCCGCATAGGTGCCTGAATGTATTGAGAGTACCCATACAAGTACCCCCAGTAGAGGCAATGCTAGTCGCCTTTCTTGCATTTTCATCGAATTCAATCTGGAACAAAGAAAACATTTGTAGGAACTACTTCATTGTGGCTAACGATTACTCTTACAGTGTGTTTTCATCGCCTGTATCGTATCAAATCTCGCCAATAGTGCGGTAGTACCTAACCAGTTTGCTTTATTAGAAGTATGATATGCCAATTCTCTCTCTGGCAACTTGCAAATACGAATGGATAACAGTAGTACCAAGGTGTAGTTCTGACAACCACGCACATCATATATGGAACCAACTATATATTTTCTCTATATATAAACGCAACATAGAATGTTTAACGCTGAAGATAAGATTTATAACTTTGTTTGCTTCCTTGATTCTGATAAGGCATTGGTCGTATATACACCGGTTTATCAAAAACTTCTACAAATTAATTATAAGTAATGAAGATTTGTTCTAACAGTGGAAAGAATTGTTATTCTCAACGTGAAAAAATTGAAAGAATTATAATGAAATCTTATCTCCAAATTCCTGAATACAAACTAGTTTGAAATATAATGTTTACTAGTGTTGTGTAATGATAGGATATATTGGCACGACTATGTCACTGTAGTAAAATTTGAATTTAAATAAAAGCTTTGATGTTGAAGAAATCATTATGATTGCTTTTGATACTAATCGTCATCGCATACTTCATATCTCAAAAAATGTTCGAAAACATTGAGATGTCTTAAATTCGAAAGAAAACATGAAAACCATTTATGTGAAATAAAAGTCATTGATTCATTTTGTGTTACAATATTTACTGATTATGACTGTGAAGAGTTTTGTCAGAACTATGACCACAGATTATTAGCTACATTACAGATACCACTCTCTCCTATAATTTCTGGCACCACCATTAACAGCGCCATCTGACGAATACTAACACATAACAAACAACACTAAAACTACTTGCCTCCTCTGCTATCCTTGAGTTGCATTATATTTATAAACAAATATGCTAACTTAAAATTAGTCATTAAGACAGTTTCCAAGTTTTCATCCACTTTTATTATGTAAAATAGCATACAACATATGTATAAGTATGTAAGTAAATACATGACAAAAATGACGTCAAGTCTATAGAAAGGTACCTGTACATTCTGTTACTATGTCCGCCATATCAAAATTTTTTAATCCAATTCAATTTCATAGGTTGCAATATTTCCAAATGCATCATAAGATAGATCAACACAAAATATTCCTAATTAAGATTAGCTACACACTTTGGCACTTAAAAATGGACAAAATATTTATAAAGATAACGAATTCATTTGTACACAAATGTAGATATTTTATAAAATGTGTATTGTGTATAAGTGTATTATATAAAATACAGGGTGCGGCAGAAGGACGGACGTTTTTGGGATGGGTAGTACTCTCCGCCTCCGTCTACGAGAGAGGTGGGGAGGGTGCCGTTTGACTCGTGACTCGTGAGATCCTAGCATTATTTTACCAGTTGTCGTTATGGAGCCTTGGACGGTAGAGCACCTCGTTTTCGCCTATGATTGTTTCGCCCGAAATAATGAGTCAGTCATCGTCATACAGCGTGAGTTTCGTCGCCTCTTCAACATTCATCGGAATAGAGATGTTCCCTCTCGAAACACCATCCTTCGTTGGGTTGAATCACTTCGCAGGCGTGGTGTACTGATCAACAGAAGACCAAGAGGAGCGCCGCGAACAGTTCGAACTCCTGAAAATGTTGAACGCGTTCGACAGGTCTTTCTTCGTAGTCCGACTCGCTCTGCCCGGAAACATGCTGCTGCACTTCGCCTTAGTGATCGTTCGGTAAGGCGAATTTTGCATATGGATCTCCGCTTTCAACAGTTACAGCCCGCAGATTATGCACAACGAATGAACTTCGCACGTGAGATGGAAGCACTGATCGATCAAAATAAGAACCTCATTTTGTTTATGAGTGACGAAGCCCACTTTCACCTAAACAGCATAGTTAACCAGTAGAATTGTCGTTATTGGGCTAATGAAAATCCGCAACAGTTACACGAAAGACCGCTGCACAGCCCAAAAGTAACGGTTTGGTGCGCTGTATCGCAAACTTGCATCATTGGCCCTTACTTCTTCAAAGACGGTAATGGTCGTGATGTTACCGTGAACTCAGAGCGCTACGTCGACATGATCACCAACTTCTTTCTCCCTGAATTACATCGGCGACGTGTTCCAATCCGACGTGTGTGATTCCAGCAGGATGGGGCGACCGCCCACACAGCCCGAGGATCCATGGACGTTATTCGCCCTCTCTTCCCTGGTTGCCTCATTTCCAGGTGTGGCGATGTTCATTGGCCTCCTCGGTCCCCAGATTTATCCATATGCGATTTTTTCTTATGGGGACACCTCAAGGCTAGAGCATACGCGAACAAGCCCCGAGCTCTGGATGAATTGAAGGGCGAAATTCGCGTGGAAGTCGCCCAAGTTGAGAGAGCGATGTTGGAGAGAGTCTACGCGAACTTACAAGAACGCCTCCATCACTGCATCTACGATTTCGGCCACCACATGCCTGATTTGACTGTCTCAAATGCTATTTCCTTGTGAACCTGATTCCATCAATAAATTTGTTTTCGAGTGAAAATTAACTATGTTATGATTTTTTTAAAACCGTCCATCCTCTCTGCCGCACCCTGTATAATCTAGTTTGATCTATACCATTCTTTCAGATTACTTTATATGCTATGGGCAATCAAAACAATGTTTAAAGAGTTGTGAACAAAGTTGATGCAAGGACGATTGGATAAAAAATATTACCGATAGACTCGAAAAGGGGCTGCGGGGATGGATCCACTTCCGATCAGAGGGCTCGAGGAACATGTCTTACCTCACGCTCGAAGAGGACGCACACGAGGACATAGCTTGTCGGCCTGTTCTTATTTTCTACTTATTTCGATGACATATTCCTCGAGTTTTGAATTTCCTTGGTAAGTATGTTGTCTCATTCTATTAGTTGAGTTCTTGGGGTTGCGCATTCTTTCTTCAGGCCGGAATGCTACACCTTCAGATCCCTGCAGACAACGTCCAGGGTGTTCGGCGATTTTGGTCTATCTCTCTCTCTCTTTTCATCTCATGACAGTTGCATGGCCTATGTTTCCAGCACAAAAATAAACATTACAACTCACTAACATCGATTTTTCTACACCAAAGCACCCGCGCAGGCTGAAGCCTAAATGCCAGTGCGCCTCGGCTGCTATGAGGAGCTTAAAGAAGCTTTGTTCATACGATTTTTGAACTGCCTAAGGTTAGTAAAACTGGGATAAGCCACAATATCGATGCCCTAGAGACAAAGATATCGGCCAGCTATGGAAATACGAAGTTCGAAATGGCTAGGGTAGGAGTTTCAAGTCAGGCGCGAAGCGGTAAAAGAGAGCTAGATCGCCAACAGCCCACCGGTGTGAAAGGATCCCGAGACGGTCCGTTAGAGAAGAGTCATCGATCAGTCGGATGGCCCTCCTCTGAACATCATCGAGCATGGATAGTGCAATCGCGACGACAGCACCCTGTTGACGAGATGATTTCGTGCCAGATCAGGTCATCGGTGATCTGGACTCCGGTCAGCCGAAATGGACGGCTCTTTGGTTGAACTCACTCATCCATCGAAAACGGATGAGTGCTAGGACGCCTCTTGTTAGCCAAGGTACAGAACTGATACTCTTGAATCGAAAATTAAAGAACCAAAGTATCTACTTTGTCAAACATTTTTAGATCAAGACAGCAACCAAACGTTCAAACCACTTTTGACAAATTTGCCATTTTAACATCCCGTACAAAAAAAGAGTACTTGGTAAAGTACGCATTTAAAGATATGCTGACTCCTCTCAAGTACATTACATAGGTCCAAAGACTGCTCTGTATCAGCATTACAACAGTATATTTACTTACATAATTGTTCAGTAAACCAACAAATCATTTTGTTTTCGATCTTCATGACCATTTGCAGAGTTATCTTAAATATTTTTCTGAAGCGATTGACGTCAATCGAAGGGGTTAAGTTCATTTTAATGAGATATTTTTGATAACATGTTGATCCTGTTGCCTTCAGCCACAATTATCATCAAATACTTTGAACAATAAATTCTTATCTTGGTTTCTTAGATAATTCAAGTGTTACAAAACATGAATATTGATTAGATTTTCTTGCCTATTGCAGTATTGCAATCTCAAAAATTTGGCATTTTAAGTAACATATTATGTTTAGTGTCCTAGATCAGACTAGCTAGAAAAAAATTGAGTCGTAGACAAAATTTATAGCCGGATGAAATTGCCTCTCGTCTATGGATACAAAAATATTTTCAAATCTGATAATTAATAGGAAAAATTAATTTTTCGCATATATCCTACAATGAAGTATTGGTATTGGATTTGTTGGGTAAAAAGAACGTAATATGTTCAATTTGCTGCAGCAGTTGGGTCGCAAAGAATATCATTTTTCTGAAACATTTGGTCAAAAAATAAAATCTTCGAAACATTGACCAACATTTTCGGGTGGTATTTTTTTAATGCTAGTATTTGGATACTATTTCAAATTAATAGTTATACACTTTCGGAAAGAAATGAACATAAGTGTGATTTTGAAGGCATTTTAATTCGCAACAACCTGTGAATATCTTACAATTTAGGCAAAAGAAAAGTTTATTTGGCTTTAATAAAGAAGCTATCAACAAATTATTTTGATTATCTAGATAAAGGCCCAGTTTACAAAATTCTAGATATTGTGGTTTGAACATCGACCCAGCCAACGATTAATTGACAAATAACTAGCAACCGATTTTTTTATTACTGCTTTCACTTTCAATTATTCATCAATCTTTGACATTTATCTATTACTACTGTTAAACGGAAGCACTTACTTATTCTTTATTGTGATTGATTTCCTAAAATTAGGTTTAAATTACACAGAAAAACTTGTGGGGATCAATGAATTGAGAAACGAGTTTATTGGAAAATTGACGAATCAATACATTCAAGGTAGCTTTTATTTATAGATGTTTTCGATCCATTATCGGGAATATAATTGGTTGACCTAGAAGTTGTTTGTTTATAATTTTGAGTGGTGGCAATGTTCACTTATCGATATGAGAAGACGTATGAGAAGTATTGCCTTACTCTAGTGGAGCTACATCAGAAGTGAGTTTTGTAGCTGTTGTACAAGGCGTATCATGATCTAAAACAATAACAAAGTTGTTAGGGTTATACTACTAGAACTACTACATGCGTTTGGTCACAATTTCTGGATATACCTAAACATATTCAAGATGTGTTTGCCATTTACACGAAATTTGTATTTGACCATTTGAATCTCCCTAACATTTACACGAGCTCTTCCGATAAATTTTACATGTATCTTATAATACTATTATATTTTTCATAAGAAATAATTAATCATATTATGTAACTTGGATGGCACTAAAACGTTTTTTGGAAGTTGAGTTTTACTTATTTAAAAGATATTATTCCACAGAAAACCGTATCGATTTAGTGAATACATTAATAGCTTTTAGCAGAAGATTAACATGAATTCTTTACAATAAGTTCTGAATGGACCTGTATATTGCACAAAGCTGTTTATAATTTACGTGAATAATTTCGTCTCACGTAACCAGTACATTACTAAGGTTACGCCAAGGTAAAAATAAACCAACTAACGGTTATCAATAGCCAGTATAATTTGCCACCAATGGCATTATATTGTCGATTACCATTGGAGATAAGATATATTGTTAAATCGGACAATTATAAGGAGTAAATATACATATGTTTGTCGATTGAACAGGAAATTACATAGTATCCTGTGTGCAATCATTTTTATTTAGCAAATAGAACTGTGTGTTGTCACCAGGTGGTCTCAGTAACACCTGCATTTGACGGGGTATACATTGTCAGTGGTATACATTTTAAAATATTAACAGGCACAGTGAATGTCTATTCAAAATTCAAGATTACTAAAGATTCTACAATTAATTTTAACGGTTGATTTCTGCAAATCACACGAATGATACCTTCATAATGTTCCAAAAGATTTAGAGACAAGCTGTTAGAATATCAATTGAACTCTGTTTAATTACGTGCCTGATGTTTTACTGCAACAACACGTTATTAGCTTACTTTTATGTACATCTTATTATACACATTCCTGCAATATTATCAGTAACTGTTATTTCCTATCATATGCAAATTAAACATAAACGTTTGGTTACTTAGCTAATATTTTTCGTTTTCACTGTGAATTATGATAAACAAGTTTTTATCTTGTGATTGGGTATATTAAATAACTAGTCTTAGAAGTGAAAACGTTTTCTTGAGCCCGATAATAAACGAAGACTGCTAAGCTTGAGTGACAAGTATGGCTTTAGAATAAAATTCCTTCAATGAAAATATTGGCTTAAAGTGATTTCACTCCAAATATAGTTTGAACCTATGCTGTTGCACGTAACTAAGAAAGTTGAAGCATGACACTTTTACGTGGGATAGAACAGCTACAATGAAATAAACTGTTGATTTTTTATGATGCATGCCAAAATAGTGTTTCACCTACGCCTACAGAGAAACATCTTTAGTATTACTATACTACTTTCAAGCCATTTAGCCCAGCAATTAGATGTATCAAAAACTTTCCAACCGATTATACATTTAGCTTTAGTTCTTGCACTGAATGTAATGATTCACACAAAACATGAAATAATTCATAAAAACTCACAAAAATCCAAATTTCCAAAATAATACAGAGTACAAAAATAAACCACGTAGCCAGCCACACAGTTGGATCCACCTTCTAGTTCTAGACTATTCGACGGTCGGTCGAAAGGCATCAACAAGCATGACTGGTCGCGATGGCAACGGCCTAAAAAATCGGCGTGCAACATGCCATTGGGCAAACTTTCCGTGGCGTTGCCACATCTATCAAAATTTCTCCAGACAGAGCGATCTTTTATAATACGTTGGGCTTCCACATTTGGATTTTTGCAAGCAATGTCTACTTCGGTGATTCTATTTTATACTGACCAATTCAGAGCTACTTCAACAAGACATTGCAAAGGATGGTCGAATCCTAGTTGACTTCGGCCGAAGCAAGGTGATTTAAAGATTATGCAAACAGACAAGACAGCTGGATTTTCGTTGTAACATCAATCAGAGGAGGTAATATAGGTAATAAAAATAATAAAAATAATAAGGATGGTAATATTTTTAAAACTAGCTACTTAATAATACATTTTTAGTTATCTAAATATAAAATTTATGATGATAACTGTACAAGGTGTAAAGAAGTGGGAGACATTGCGTTATAGAGATATACGATGCGATTCAAATGAGTCAATCATCTTCCATGGAGATCGTCAAGTATATTACTCTGCTGTCAAAGCTTCATTGAAATATGCAGTGTTGTTCAGAAGTCATTCATGAACAATTATATTCCAAAATGGAGCTATATTTCGAAAATCGTAAAAGATGAAAATGGTCTTAGAATAATCTAAAAGTTCGATTTTGGATTTTGTCCACTGATTTGGGAACACCCTGTATATCAGCATTCGTATTTCGTATTTATCCATAACTCTCCAGTGAGTTCCAAGTATATAAATATACTAAGTGACATATAAATCCGAACACCCAGTTTAAATGGTTTTATTTTAATGAAATTTTGTATAAGTACTTAATGAAGCATAATAAGTAAATGGTAAAAAATTCAAAATGATTGCACTGCTCTAAAGCCCTTTAACCTTTAATAATGTGTGGCTGCACCCTGATGTGTTACGCATTCTCCAACGCGCCTAGGCATGCTTCTGATCAGGTGGTCAATGTCCTCATGTGGTATCTCATTCCAGGCAACCACCAACTCCTCTCGAAGTGCTTCTATAGTCTGAGGAGGACGTTGCAAATTGAGCAATCCCCTACCCATCATATCCCACACGTGCTCAATTGGGGATAAGTCGGGAGATCTTGGTGGCCATGGTAACAATGTGACAGCATTATGTTGAAAGAAGTCTATTGTGACTCTTGCAACATGTGGTCGGGCATTATCTTGTTGGAAAGTTGGATCTGCCAGGGTGTCAAGATAGAGTAAAAGATGGGGTTCTAGAACTTCGTGGATATAACGCTGCGCATTCATGTTACCTCTGATGAAGATTAAAGGTGACCTGGAACCATAAGCTATAGCACCCCAAACCATAACTCCAACAGTGTGATGAACATGTCTTTCAACAAAAAACTGTGGATTCCTCCTTTCACCACGTCGCCTTCTAACCCTGGCACGACCATCGTGCATGCCTAAACAAAATCGAGACTCGTCACTAAAGACAATACTGTTCCATTCCTGATCCCAGAGTGACCGTTGTCTGCACCACTCAAGGCGATTACGTCGGTGTTCTCGAGTTAAAGGGAGGACCCAGTGTGGCCGGTATGAAAACAAGCCAAAACTTCTCATTCGTCGGTAAACACTTCGCATGCCAATAGGTCTTCCGTGTTCTGCAAACCATTCATTTGCAATGGACCTGGTAGTGGAGAAACTGTCCCTTAAGGCCAATAATCTTAGGCGGCGATCTTCACGGTCTGTTGTTCTACAGCGGCGTCCAGTGCCCCTTGCTCGTTGCGTACGGCCTTCTCGAAGCCATGCCTGACAACACCTAACCACAGTGTCTACACTTCTTTGCACTCTAACTGCAATTGCGCGAAAAGAAAGTACAGCTTCCCGAAGTCCCACTATACGGTCCCTATCAAACTCACTAAGTTGACGAAATCGTACAGGTCTCCGTACTCTAGGCATCGTAACCGATCGTAAAGGATGTCAAGAACCAAAATCCGCCAACGTTGATTCTTTACTGCGGCTGAAATATTCATTTTTAGAGCGTTAGTGAATTAAAAAAAAGCAGTATAAAAACCGGAATGTCCAACTGATAAGGCTGAAAATTTTTTCACTTGTTATTTACAGTAAGATAAATACATTCACCAACTTTTATTAAAATAAAACCATTTAAACTGGGTGTTCGGATTTATATGTCACTTAGTATATTATAAATCAACAGTAATCTATTTTTTACAATACTTCAAGTCAAGATCTGATTATATAGTGACATTCAAAATACCCGATACCGATAAGTGACACGCAACTCTAATATACTTTGGTACCGAAGGAAGAGAGCAGCAAAGCGTATCGCACGCCACTTTATTATAATCCATTTATGGAAGAAGGAAACTAACCTCAAACATATTCATGCATACTTCGCGTGATCGGACTTCAGGACGCCAAACACGTTACAGGGCCGGCAAGGCTGCATGCACCACCCTAATTTAGCATTGCTCCTGTATATGAGATGTGCCGAATAACAGTTATGCTTCGCGTTTCTCGAAATATATCAACGTGCTGATCACGCGCTGATTATTGTTTTATTTTAATATTGTTCTTGAATAAATAGACTTTAGTGATCATCCCTATCTTTTAGGGTAGGTATGTGAAAAAAATTCATCAATGTTCGATATAAGTAGATCTGAATACAGTTTCATTGCTGCCATCATAACTTATAGACTTTAACACAAATATGTAGATAGCAAAACGAGATGAAAGACCTGAAAAAATAGTTATTAGAGTAAATCTAAAGATGTTTACTTTTTACACTTGGCAACACCGCTGATACCAGTTATAGGGATGGCCGCAGTATTTCCGAGATGAAAGGGATCTTAGGGTAAGTATCCTATCAGCTGGAATATAACGAGAGTTACGTAACCAGGAAACCAGCTGTGCGAAGTCTGAACAACAGAATCTGAGAAGTAATTTAATGACAAATTGTATGGTCTGTGTTTATTGTGTTATAATTTGTTGATTCTGTAATATTTTTCAATTGAACTTCGTTTTATAATGTGGTTCGAGATGACATGTGTGTGCTTGACGAGCTTCAGGTCATCAAAATCACGAACAGTTAGTGTGTCATTAACGTCATCAACCTTGTTTTCCTGATGTTTTTATAGACGGTCAAGGCGTATCGTTGACCAAGAAAAGCTTTCTTTTAATAAATTATTATCAGACTCGATTCATAATTATTATCTTTAGAAAACTTATATATCGTCCTGTATCAGAACAACTAGGCTATAACGGAAATTTACTTCGCTTGAAGGTTTTTTTATTATTCCAGTGCGTTATAAAGTAGAAGATGAAGCTGAAAAACTAATTCGTGCATTGAAGGTTTCGTGTTACTGCGTATGATGCGGAGTATAATGAGTAATAATTATGATGAGTCAAATGTTTAATATTCCAGTAGCCCGTTATTGAGAATACCAAAAGTGACATAGAAATAAATATATATTCCGTTATTTGAGTTCGTCACCACATTGGCTGAAAAAATGTTGCGTCAATATACTCTAATGCGCTATAGTTTAATATAAATCTATTGCTTTATTAAATTTTCGAAAAATTTAAACAATAAATACAAAGTCATTATAGTGTACAAAATAGACGCAAACACAGTAGCAGATAATATTAGTGAGGCCTTCATCGGAATTAGTGTAAATTTCTTCGTCTTACTTTAGCAAAGTTAATTAGGAGGCGAACATAACAACTAGGCCTTTGTGATTTTTTGTTAGGCGGATCACGTTTTCTTTAAAAATTCGAAAGAACCTACTTGAAATTCAAATAAGCATAGATACTCTTACTTTTTGTATTAACAGTATTGGCTGAACCTTATACGTGCCCTTCGTGGGACTTCGCGGCCTACGATATAGTATTCTAAACTTAGTCAAATCGTACTGATACGTTTAGAACAACTGTGATATGGTTATTTAATTTTCAAAATATTTCACGTTATTATAAGCATATTTTCCAAAGAAATGCGAAATTGATGAATGGTATTGTAGAGTTACAATAGCATTTTCTGTAGGTTTATAATAAAAAATAAAGCTGTGGGGAAGTTTACCTCTTCCAATAAAAACACCCGAATAAGTAGGATACTAACAGTTTTAAGGTAATACAATTATTTGTTTAATTTACTGTTTTCAAATATTTGATTGAAGGCTTGAGTAGCTCAGGGATGGAGGGTTGAAAGATATTTCGATATATTATTAAGGAAAAACTAAGTACATGTATAATTTGTAATTGTATCTTATTTTGAACTATAATACCATGTATGCAAGGAAACACGCTCACTATTCAAATCGTTATATGTAATTCTATAATGTTTCTATTTGAAATCTTATCACTGTTATTGGACCTCTAGAATTAGCGTTGACAATGCCGATTAGCTGACAGTCCTAATGAGTATTTATAAGGAAACTTCTATCTAGTTTGACAACATGTTATTTTCTCTAACGTTACTAAAACATAAACAAATCCACTCACCTCTTTTAGAGTGTACGCTATTGCAGAAAAAAACAGTGTTCACAACAGTTCAAAATTCAATAATGTTTATATCGATTATGATGATGATGAGGTGGTCCCGAGAGCCGTTACTCCAATAGACCTGTAAGCGTAAGAGCGATCGGAATGATAAACAACGACGCGCACTATACCGATAAGCGATTTGTACTGCATCTATTCAGAAGCGCAGTGTTACTTAAATAAAGTGCGCGCCTGTCACGTGGCTGAAGCTTTTTATCAGTGAGACTTACGCACTGACTCAATTTTGGACTACACTATGACCAATTTGTAACTAGATAATATTCAACAATTCTCCACAAGACTCTGTATTACCAGCTAGTGGATGGTCATGTCTCGTTTTTAAAATGATCGCACTTCAACACAGTTTTTGACAACGGCATGACCGGTTTTCAACTAGACGTCCACATGTTCGCGTGAGTCCATGTTATAAGTCGTCTGGCGGTCTGGCGAGTAGTAGCGTCTTGTTATCAATAATACTTAACGCAGTGACTCTGTTTTAGCCAACACTTTGGCCAATTTGCATTTACCTACATGTGCAACAGGGTGTCTAAAGAACTCATGTAGTCTGGCGAATAGTAGTCACTTGTTATCTATATGACTAAGGCCCGTATCGTCAGTCGTCCCTACAATTGTAGGGCGCCTTTATGGCCTCCTTGATTGTCATAGTTTTCTACTTCTCCCTGTCAGCGCTCCATTTTGAGGTTATCTCACAAACATCTATTTGCATCAAATTGTGCTTGCTTTTGAGTTATATCATGTTTTATCAGCCTGAAATTTCTTACAATTCAAAAAGAAAACATATCTTCATAATAGGAGAGCACTGACGCTGACACGGGACAAGTGTAATCTAGAAATTTTCGATGGAGGCAAAGGAGTATGATAATCAAGGAGGCCATAAACGCGCCCTACAATTGTAGGGACGACTGACGATACGGACCTCTACAATTGTAGGGCGCCTTTATGGCCTCCTTGATTGTCATATTTTTCTACTTCTCCGTGTCCGAACTCTATTTTGAGGTTATGTCACAAACATCTATTTCCATCAAATTGTGCTTGCTTTTGAGTTATATCATATTTTATCAGCCTGAAATTTCCTACAATTCAAAAAGAAAATATATCTTCACAATAGGAGAGCGCTGACGCTGACATGGGACAAGTGTAATCTAGAAATTTTCGAAGGAAGGAAAGGAGTATGACAATCAAGAAGGCCATAAACGCGCCCTACAATTGTAGGGACGACTGACGATACGGGCCTCTGCAATTATAGGGCGCCTTTATGGCCTCCTTGATTGTCATAGTTTTCTACTTCTCCGTGTCAGAACTCTATTTTGAGGTTATGTCACAAACATCTATTTACATCAAATTGTGCTTGCTTTTGAGTTATATCATTTTTTATCAGCCTGAAATGTCCTACAATTTAAAAAGAAAACATATCTGCACAATAGGAGAGCGCTCAAGCTGATACGGGACAAGTGTAATCTAGAAATTTTTGAAGGAGAGAAAGGAGTATGACAATCAAGGAGGCCATAAACGCGCCCTACAATTGTAGGGACGACTGACGATACGGCCCTTAGGCCACTTTTAAGTATTCCCTTTGTTGGTCACATTCTCCAGTGGGTGAACACGTTTACATGGTGACATCCACACATTATAGCCCCACCTCAGAGATCCATCCAATGGATGGTCTGAGATCGTCTTTAGCCTACGGACAATCATAACACGCCAATAGTTAGTAGACGCACAACGTTAACCACTACGTCACCGGGCTTGATATCATGTTTATTATATTAAATATTGCTTACTAAGAGCCGTATCGTCAGTCGTTCCTACAATTGTAGGACGCCTTTATGGCCTCCTTGATTGTCATAGTCTTTTCTCCCCTTCAGAAAAACTGGGCTATTTCTAAATTTTACCTTTTCCGGGTCAGCGTCAGCACTATCCCATTGCGAAGTTATGTTTTGTTTTTGAATTGTAGGAAATTTCAGGCTGATAAAACAGATTATATAAATCTAAAGTACAAACAATTTGATGCAAATAGATATTTGAGACATAACCTCAGAATAGTACGCTGTCACATTTATTGTAGGAACGACTGACTTGCCACGCCTTTTTTTACGAATAAAAGGAAAAGGTGGTGGGATTCCTCTTTTTCTTTTTTTTTTCTTAAATTAATAAATAAATTAATAAAATATGATAAATAAAATCAAATGGTGGGTCAACGCAAAACAGAGGTTCAACTGGCGTGCAAATTTAAGCCCTAGCTCAATAAAGCGGAGAGTAGGGCGGTTAAGAGCGTCAGTGACTTATGACAAACTAAGCCACAAATCCCCAAGATGTTAGTTGGAACTTTTTTTGCTTGACCAACCACACAAAAACAAGAATCTAACAGTTATGACGTTACCTAATTAACAGTACAAGGGGAGCAAATAAAACAAGATACTATCTGGAAATTAAGCAAACGGCGCTCACACCACAATCTCAGGAGGAAAGTGACTGACACGAAATACCTAACTGTATGAAGGAAGGTTCAATGAGTGGCCTTGGAGAAGATACTTCCAACAGGAAACAGGAAACCAAGTAACGGAGAAAAACCACAGAGTTTTTTTTTTCAACACAATACTGAATCACTAAGAAAGAAAGATATAATACCTGTGAAATTATACAATCAATAAACTATGAAATTTACCAAAAGAAAGTCACTTAAAATGGTTTTGGCCTCCTATGGGCACTATATCATTAATAAAGGGTAATTCAAATTACTAGTGAGTGGTCAAAATAGTAAAAAAAAGGTTACGTCATTTTGGCACGTGACAGACTATAGGGCACTTACTCACTTATGCACTTTTGAACAACACTACGACCAACTTGCATTTAGATGTCCAATAATTATCTAATCCCCTATGCTTATCTAGCCAATAAAACCGCATATATTGACAGATCTTCTACTTATACTGCAGTAAACGCATCAATCACAGAGAAACAAAGATGATCTTCTTCAGTACAACAGTATAAATTTGGTTTATCTATCTTCTGGGTGACAGTTCGTTAGTCTTTTCTTTTTATTATCACATTCTTATTGTGACTATTTTGGACCATGGTTCACCTAAATTTAAATTTGGTCTATATTGTTAGCTAATTTACACGATTTCTGACGAAATTTGCCAGCTACAACTAAATACAAATAATAACTTCAAATATTGTACTCACAGTTTTGACGTGGAACCTAGACTCGACCAAGTCCAAGAACTGCAACAACAAACCGTGTACAAATAAACATTACGCCCACGATCTTAATAGACTGTTTGACCTAAGGGAGGGTTACTAAACCTAAAAAAGCTATTATTGCCAAAGTCAAACAATGAAATCTACTAACTTTCTAAGCAACTAAAAATGAACCATAGACATGACGGATAAAACGACCAAACCTTTGAATGGTTGGTTGTATTAATCAACCAAATTCCACACATTTTGCAAATAAATAACTTTAATAAGAAAATAAGTTACTACACAATGACTTTGATTTGATTTAATTTATATATTAACAAAGTCGTATGGTTGTTATATTCATAATCTTTTTTTAATATAGTGACATTTTTTATGTTGTGTATTTACTTTTAGAAATAAATTTCAAATTACGATGTTACCGACCCGAAACAGTTTATTCGCTGATTTACGTGCTGACTCATTTTGCATATTCCATACTACCTACAAACATGCCCATTGAAGTACGGAATTCTCGGTATATTTCAATTATAATTGTCAGTTATACATGACCCTCAGCTATAATGTTCAGATACAGGTTGCAATTGGCTATAATAAATTGTTCTCAGTGTGATAATTAGCTATCTACAAAATGGACAGTTACAAGTTGCAAGTTGCACTAAGATACAATTATCAGCTATAAGTTCTAACTAACTGATAATGCTATAACTATTGGTAAAACTTCAGTTAAACATAACAGCTGTAAATTGTACCTGAAAGCAACTTATACTTGCTGACAATTATAGCTAACTGCAATTTTGTAACTAATTATAGTTAATTGCAATTTGTAACTGTAAACTGAAGTCAATTGCAACTTGTAATCGACAACTATAGCAAATTGTAATTGTACAAAACAACAAAAAACGCTGCCAAGTAGATTGACTGCACTTCCTACGCAACGCTGTCATCCGTTCATAAAGAATTATGTCCGGCACAAGTTGGACCCTTCTGAGAAGAATAGTTACCTACGAACATGTATAACAAAAAAATAACGGATCAAGTTAGTCAAACAAACACATACAACTAAAATTTGTATATTTACTATATTTTTGGACAATTTTAGGACTGTTTAAACGTTTTGGAGGCAGTTACGTACAAAAATTATCTCTTATCGTTGGATGGCCCTCTCCCTGATCGATGATCGATACTATGTCTATATCAGGCGATCGGTTCACATCCAGTCGAGCAGCGGAAGTCGACTGCTACTCACGGATAACGATAAATGTACGGAGAAATCTATCATGAGTGAAATATGTCTAAAAGGTGCGGAGGATCACCAAGGCTGGCGGCGTATAAGTAAACTACTAACAAAAAATTGAGATATACCCTACCCCACCTCCCTACAGCCACCCCTTCTCCCAATTTTTCACCCCGTAAAATCTTTTTCAAGAATGATCTGAATCCCCTGAAACATCAGACAACGACGTTGAGCGATTTTTATTTTTTTACTTTTTCAAAAACTATAAAGCTTTCTTGTCTTTGGAATAGTAGTAACCTCGTGTGAACATTTCATCAAAATTCGACTGGTTCTTTCCAAGTGATAGAGGAGCCAAGGATTAGCGGACAAACAGACAGACATTCCGGCCTAAATGAGTGACATTTTTAAGAAAGTCAAATATGTTTGGAACTCCATTAACTGTGGGCTGACCTAATCGCATCCTAAGGATTATTTGACTACCTATGGAAGCTTGAAATAGTGAGATAGATAACCAATGATGAGGAAAGGATGAATTCATTCAAAAACCTTTTGAGACACTTGTTACTATTTTTAGGCTCTGCCAACGCGATTGCGTCAGTGAAGAAAACGATAGCACGGATATTATATTCTGTGAAAATAAATACGCAAGTTGTTCGCAGGTGTATTGAAATGCGATTTATGCAATGGCTGTAAATTATAAAGCTTTGTTTACTTCAAGATATACGAGTAAGTATATGTTCAATTCCATAGAAATCACGCGGTGAATGAATGAAAACTATTAAGTCATGCACAATAATTTGTATTCGATAAATGTTTTCATTTTCATGAATACCTATATGCACGATTTTACTGCCCAATACACAATTTAATTAAATTTTTTAGACAAAAAAATCCATTTACACAAAAGGTGATATTGTTGTTGATTGAGGTAATGGATTATTAAAAATTAGCATGTTGTTTTGTTATTATATCAATTGTATTTAAAAAATTGCATAAGCTTCAGAACTTTCAAAGATCAATGATAATCCCTATACCCTTCCAAAAATCATTTACTGCTAAATCAAATTTGAATACACATTAGACGTGGTACTATGAATATGGTATTTCAAAAATATAAACAAATCCTGACTAAACGTTTATTAAAGAAATAAGCAAGACGGTACATAAATAGTTCGTGTTTTCCACAATACATGTGCCCAAGGATCTAAACCAAAAATAAAGTTTTGACCTTTTGTTGACAGAGTGACTCCAAAAGAAATGATCCTTTATGTACATTATAGTAAAGTGTTTCTACTACTCCACAACTATGTTGTCCTTTGACCATTTTCGAAGAATCGTTCCATTTCAAAGATAGGAATTGAACAGTTGTTTTTTCTAAAATAACTTTATACTAGCATGATTTATTTGTGAAGCTTCTGAGTCCACAAAGACTATACGAAGTGACTAGAAAAAATATATCCGGGTCATTCCTCTTTTAGTCAAATAACTTCAGTAGAGTTTCTCATGGGCTTCTATCAAATATATAGGGAGATGGTGCCTTAGAAAAAATATGGAAGATTGCTGGTTGTAATAATACCTACGTTACTCAATAAGAGCTTGGATGTGTATTTGAAAGTGTTCAGCAATCTACGCAAGGAGAAGAATGGAGCGTCACATTAAAGCTGGAGTCATTTTGACTGCGGTGCTTCATCTGTGATTTTTGCTAATAAAAACTGCTCATTTTGAAAATTTTGTTCTGTTATTCTTTTAGATGATGAATGTTGGATTTAGTGAGATGACTTTCACAACGGAATGATTCACTAAAGACGACTAGTAAACAACTGTATAACTGTAAATCATAACCACTTACCCAAATGAATCATGTATCCTGACCAATTAGAGGAATTCCCCCCAGAATTTTTCTGATTACATAATCAAATAGCTAAACATATTCTTGGAGAAAATGTATGAGTTATACGTTTAGCATGGAAGGAAATATTCACAATAAATTTTTCACACAACATGTTGCAATTAAATTGTGGAACAACACAAAAAGCAGTGCTTTTCAGAAAGTTCTCCTCTTCTTTTTTTTTTAATGAGTCAAGTTAGCAAGCTGAAATGCGGGATGATGGAATTGATGCATGTATACTATATTTTCACGTGAGAATAATACTTGAGAATTTCAAGATAGCAGCTAGGCGCCATCTTGTAGCATAATTTATTACATACTTGGAAAAAACCTTCCGATAGAAGAAGCATTAAATGATTGGTTGTTGCATTAGAAACGAGCCAGTGTACAAAAACGCTCAACCTTGACAGCCCGACATTTTGAAAGAAAGTGATTTATATTCTAGGGTCGTAAAGTACCTATAATGCGGTTGAAAATGAGTTATCTTAAGACTCACCGCTCTATTTAGCCAGGCCAGCCGCTATCTTGAAATTTTCAACTGTCACTTTGACGCCAAAATACAGTATCCATGCATCAACGTCATTACCCGCAATTTCAGTTTGCTAATGTGATCTATTCCGAAAGAGAAGGGGGACCTTTTTGAAAATCAGTTTGTATCTAGTAAAACATAATTTAGTGCTAACGAATGAGCTAGGATATCTGTTAGAGGTAATAGTCCAAGAGCTACTAACACACGTTCCATGAAGTGTTTGATGCACGTTAAAGTTTTGTGTTATAGTATCTATTGGATAGATGAGCAGGTAAGCAAGTGTTGACTTGCCCTACCTGGGGCTACCAGGTACTGCACATACCTAGGAGAAAGGAGTAAAAAAAATTGCCCAAAAACAGTATTTGTTTCAGAGACCAACAAGCTGAAATTGAAATTTAAAATCTCATAAAACACAAAAATTAATAAGGCAGACACTTTTGAGGGGGTTAACATTCAATAAAAACACCTCCAATTTGCTTTTTTAATACAAAATGAAGTGTTTTATTCACGCTGACATTTTAACAGTGTCTTGATTTCATATTATAAAAAATAATTACAAAAAGGCAGACACTTTTTTGGAGTTTAATTATTGGAAAACATGAAAATAAGTATTAATTTCAATAGAGAGAAACAGGCAGCGGGTAGTCGTGGATGTGAGTGAGAGCACCGATTACCCGCGTAGCCACGGTCTTTCTCCGGGCTCTCATTGGCTGTTGGTCACGTGTTCTTGTACAGCTGTACTGTCTATATAGGTACATTATAATAAATGAATAAAACTTCTCATTAACACTAACCATAGGATTTTTAATGCTAATCCCAACCAGAAACTATTTTTTTCTTAAATGTGATAAACTGTTAATGCAATTTCTTTCATTATTATTATTATTGTACTATTCTACTACCTTGAGAGATTAAAAGTTTAAAAATAACTTATTAATCAGAATATCCATATTTTTATGTTACTTTAAAATTGAATTTAAAAATGTGTAGTCAGTACGGCTGTAAAAGAACACGTAACCAACAGCCAATGAGAGCGCAGAGAAAGACCGTAGCTACGCCGGTAATCAGTGCTGTCACTCACATCCACGACAACGCGCTGCCTGTCACTCTCTCTCTCTCTTTATTGAAATTAATATTTACTTTCATGTTTTCCAATAAACCCCAAAAAAGTGTCTGCCTCTTTGTAATTACTTTTTATAATATGAAATTAAGAACACTTTTATAATGTCAGCGTGAATAAAACACTACATTTTGTATTTAAAAAAATACTTGGAGGTGTTTTTATTAAATGCTAACCCCCTCAGAAGTGTCTGCCTTATTAATTTTTGTGTTTTATGAGATGTTAAATTTTAATTTCTGCTGGTTGGTCTCTGAAACAAACACTTTCCTTGGGCAATTTTTTTATACGCAGTACCTGGTGTCCCCAGGTGGGGCAAGCCAACACTTGCTTACCTGCTCATCTATCCAATAGATACTATAACACAAAATTTTAAGGTGCATCAAACACTTCATGAAACGTGTGTTACTAGCTCTCCGACTATAATAAATACTTTTGAAATCAAATGTCCTCAGACTGTACCAGGTCATGATAAGACACTGCCTGAAGCACTGTTCACAATTCTGGGATGCTGCAGCTTCAACTACTGTCTTTAACTTCTTTATAGCGTGTCCATGGCAGTAGAAAAGTCAAGTTCTTCGTCACATTAACTAAAAAGCGGTATCTGTATATTGTTTTTGGAATGACTTAGAATGATTTTTAAAATCTCGTGGTATTTAGATTTCATACAGTCTGGTATTAGTAATGATATTGTTGCATTCTTCCTGAAATTTTTCTAGACTGAATCGCATTTGGAATAAAAATTGTTGTCGCCTCAGTAGAGATGACTCCTAGTTTTCGACCGCGAACATTTTTTTACCATTAGCGATTGAATAACAAAATAATACATTTAAGTAGAACAACGTCAGAGGATAAGAATCTTTACGTTAATTCAATCACATATGGCTTGTTTCCATACTTCCAAGAAAGCAAGCCGCTTATCTCAAATTGCAAACTAGAGCGAATTTCTGTTGTCCGATACAAAAATGGTGATATGGAAGCCGATACATTGGATAGGATTCTGATTTACTGCACATATAGACAATAAACAAAAGGAATAACAATAGCAAATATAGACCAGGATCCCATTAATCACGAAATGTCCATCATATCAAGTAGACAGATGCAAATTAGCAGGCTATTAAGCACGTCTAAATTTTAGTCAAAAATTCTTTTGCTGGTACTTCCTTATTACCAATATTAAGCGTGTAACAATATTTATGAATTAAGTCAGAACGTAGATAGAATTCCCAATTTTGGAATAAATCGACTCTTCAATTTGCGTCCATGCAAGGAATGGCGCGGTACCCATACCCAAAATTATTAACTTCTGATGACATTCCAAAGTATGCAGCCGCCAATGGCTTTGTATCTCTTCTTTGTTCATTCATTATTTTATCCATCCATCTAATTGGCCTTCTTCAGTACATCTGTCTACATAGAGGCCTCCTCAGTTCTTGTCCACTCTTCCATTGATCCTCTTTTTGTTTTATATTGTGGCCGGTAAATTTAAATCTTAATTTTGCAACGTCCCCTACTTTTGTACTTTCTCTCATCGACTCTTATTTATCAATTTGCCTCTTTCTGTCTGCTTGTCGGTCTGTCGATCTGTCAGCCTGTCAGTCTGTCCGCTGATCCGTCTCTCGGATTTTGATGAAATTTTCACTCGAGGCTTTGTGGTTTTTGAAAGCCTGTCTAGTGACGGCGGAGCTACGGAGCAAAAAATTAAAAAATAAAAAAGCTCAAACTTCGTTTTTTCAAGTAACAGTATAGTGAGATAGGATTACTCTACTAATAGACTGCATACAATTTTGAATGACAAACTTCATTGATATCAGCGTTTTTTATTCCGATTTTACCTCAAATGTCCAAGATAATTTTTCTCAAAAACAAACATTTCTCAAAAGACATATTTCAAAAGAACCAGTAGAGTAAAAAATAATTTTCCTTTTTATTTTGGATTTAACCTCTATTGGTCTATATGAGCCATGAACATCGTTGTACGTATTAACTATGATCTATATTTTAGGCCAATATCTTAATATAGGTACTCGGAAGATGTAATTTTAATTTTTCCAAAATTATAACTTCAATGCCCTGCGACTCGGTAATGGGGCATTTGAAGACCTATGCATTGGTTATATTTGTCTACTAGTTTTTCGCCAAGTTCTATCAGAAAGTTTAGCGTTTTTAACGTTTTTACAGATTTTTTT